GTCTGTCTGCTTCTACTCCCATCAGTGTTGAAAGACATTCGTAAGGAAGACCACAAATTGTTCACTTAAATCTGTGAGCAATCAGCTTAATGCTGCTAAATTTCTGATAATCTCATAGATAAGCATTCTGCACAGTCAGTATCAATCTGTAAACCTATTGGCTGGTGTCATGGTAGCTGCATTACTTCATCCCTTTGCTGTTAGAAACCCAGTAGATGTCACGTAATGCCAACTCCCCTCCTAGATCTGACCTGTAAATGGGGGCAAAGGTTTTAAAGCCAGCTAGTGACTGACATATGCCAGGAAAGTTAATTTGCTGACTAACAATCATATTGATTAGTTAGAGCTGCTTTTTTTATATGCATAAAAGATATCGCTTAATCATTCTTACATACATTTGTGATTTTGTTTATCTCATATTGACTTTTGTGGCATTGAAAAAGCTCTGGTTTGTGAATATTCTGTCAGTTTCAAAGACCATAATTCAAATGTAAAGATTTCATATTGTTTTATCGCACATCAGTTTTGCAACAGTACCTGTTTGGGAACGAAAGTAGCACATTGAAGTAGAAAAATACTGATCACTTCAGATTATCAATGAGATTACGAATACGAACAATAAATTTTGCAAGCGTGCTCACCTTGCCTGTTGGTTAACATCTTCACATAGCATTCATTTTCACTCGATGGAAAAAGGCGATCAGCTTAATCGTAAACTCACCTTGCACATCTTTAACCTCAGCATTTTCATAGTTGAGGTCTTATTGATGAAAAGATACATTTTTCAGTTTTTTTTCATTAAATGAGAAACAGAGAAATTGAAAGTTACTATTTTTTTTAAAAAAAGCACTATGGACCTTTGGCTGATGTGGAAGTTAATAAATGCGAGTTAATGATTATCTATGCTGCAAATATTTAATAATTTCAGTTGGTACACCCAGCGTAACAAGTACAAATACAAATTTCTTTGACAGCAGGTACTTGAAACGCTTCCTTGACATCCATTTCCTTTTTCAATAATTCAATTCATTTGTCACTTGCTGAAAGGAGCAGGTATTTATCTTTAATTTTGTACATATACAAAGAGCTCAGAAAAAAAGGAGGGAAAACTAAAACCACAGGATATTCCAGAATAGTTTGATTTTTGTAAACTATTTACTGTAGCGATCCAAACACAAGATGTGATCCAAACACATAGTACGATCCACTGGAGCAGCCATTTTTCTGCTCCACTATACAATTAGAGGCTCGAAAATCCTTGATACTAGCCTTAAGAACATAAATGCTAGACGGAAAAAAGACCTAGGTCCATCTAGTTTGCCTTCCACCTTCCTGGCCGTTGTAATGCACATGTGTCCTGACCAATCTATGTATTATATCCCATAATGTTATTTCCAAGAAGAAAAATATCTAATTTGTGTTTGAAGGTATCAGTACTTCCTGCCTCAACCGTCTCCCTGGGAGCCTGTTTCACAGGTTTACTATTTGCTCACTAAAATAGTGTTTGCATAGATTCGTTCTGAATTTACCCCCCTTCAATCACAGGCCGTGTCCTGTTTTTACTGTTTTTACTGTTCTGAACTAGTTGAAATAGCCTGTCACGAATTACATTGTTCGCTCCTTTAGAATCTTAAAGACAGCAATCCTATCTCCAACCTTAAGACCACTTTCAGAACTTGAACTCACAGTCTACTCTAACACTCCAGTGCAATGCTGGGGGTGTGCTGCATTGTCGAAGTTGCCAGCAATGCAACGCATCTCGGGTTAGATTAGAAGATCAGCCATGATTGAATGGCAGGGCAGGCTCGAAGGGCCAAATGGCCTACTCCTGCTCCTACATGTTATGTTATCTTAACATCTTTGGACGAGACGTTAACGAGAGGTGCTCTCAAGAGGATGTCTCAAAGAGATTCACAAGATCCTTTACTATAAAGTGTAGTGACTGTGTATTTTGTAGGTGATCCAACAAGATGATGGCATGGCTGCTGGTTTCACATACTTTGGATGAGATGTTAAACCGAGGTCCCATCTGCCTGTTCAGGTGGACTTTAAAGATACTATTGGCACTATTTGAAAAGAGAAGGGAGTTTCTCCCTGTGTCCCATCTCCAACCTCCCCTTTCTCTCCAAGGTCTTGGAAAGAGTTGTCGCCTCCCAACTGCGCTCTTTCCTTTCCACCCATTCTCTTTTTGAACCCCTTCAGTCAGGTTTCCGTGCTGCCCATAGCACAGAAACTGCCCTGGTCAAGGTCACCAATGATATCCTGACCATCTGTGACCAGGGCTCCCTCTGTCTCCTCGTCCTCCTCGACCTATCGGCAGCATTCGATACGGTCGACCACGCTATCCTACTCCACCGCTTGTCCTCCCACCTCAACCTTCAAGGCACTGTCCTTGAATGGTTTAGGTCGTACCTTTCTCACCGTCTTCACTTTGTCTCAACGAATGGCTTCTCCTCCACCCCCCGTACTGTCTCATGTGGTGTCCCTCAGGGCTCTGTCCTCGGTCCCCTCCTCTTCACCCTCTATATGCTCCCCCTCGGTGACATCATCCGCAGACATGGAGTTAACTTCCACATGTATGCGGATGACACCCAACTCTACCTTTCCTCCTCTACTCTCAACTCCACGACCACCGATGTCCTGACAGCTGCCTGTCCGACATCGAGTCCTGGACGAGAGACAACTTTCTTCAGCTCAACGTGCGAAAAACCGAGGCCCTCCTGATTGGCTCACGTCAGCGCCTCCGCACCTCAGGCGCTGACACCATCAGCATCCAAGGCTGCACTCTCCACCTCTCAAAGCCAGTCAGGAACCTCAGCGTTTTGTTCGACCCTGAGCTGTCCTTTCTCCCTCACATCCGCACCACAACTGGCACCGCCTTCCATCACCTCCGGAACATCGCCAGACTACGCCATTACCTCACCCCTCACGCTACTGAAACCCTGGTTCACGCCTTTGTCACCTCAAGGCTGGACTATGGGAACTCTCTCCTCGCCGGCCTTCCCGCCACCTCCCTCCACAAGCTGCAGGTCATTCAGAACTCTGCAGCTCGTGTACTGTCCCGCACCAGGCATCGGGACCACATCACTCCCACCCTCGCTCGCCTCCACTGGCTCCCCATCCCCCAGAGGATTGATTTCAAGATCCTCATCCTCACCTACAAGGCCATTCACGGCCTTGCTCCCTCCTACCTCTCCAACCTTGCTCCCTCCTACCCCTACCTACCTGCCCGTACCCTCCGTTCCTCTGGCTCCGGTCTGCTCCACGTCCCCCGCCCCAACCGCCCTACCATCGGTGGTCGGGCCTTCAGCCTCTCAGCCCCCAGGCTCTGGAACTCCATCCCCCAGTGCCTTCGCCGCCTCCTCCCTTTCCTCCTTCAAGGCCGGTCTCAAAACCTTTCTCTTTGACCGTGCCTTCAGCTCCCCTCTCGACTCTCTTCCCCCTCCTCGCTCCCTCCCTTCCCTCCCCTCACCCTGACCATTTCCACCCTCCTTGCTCCCTCCCTTCCCTCACCCTGACCATTTCCCCCCTGCTCGGGTCGTGACCCAACTGTGCAGCGCCTTGGACGTCCTCCTGACGTGAAAGGCGCTTTATAAATGGAATCTTGTTGTTGTTGTTGTTGTTGTTGTCCTGGCCAACAATCCCCCAAATAAAAAATGATCATTCACTCATCACTGCTTGTGGGTCAATGCATTCACCTACAATGTAGATCAGGAGTCCTGTAGCTCAGCAGTTAGAACATTCACATGCGAGGGACCTGGGTTCGATTCCCGGCAGGGTGAAACTTTAGGCACGTTTTCTTACTCCTTACCCCTGATAATAATCCCTCAAGAAAAAAAAACATTAATAAATTGGTCACTTCAATCCACGACTGTTTGTGGGACACTGCTGTGCGCATTTTGCTGCCACGTTTTGCTCACAAATATACAGTCAATTCACTTTACACTATATTCTGTGAAGCGCTTTGAGACAACAACAACAAAATTACATTTGTATAGCGCCTTTCACGTCGGGAGGACGTCCCAAGGCACTGGACAGACAGAGTTACGGACCCGAGCTGAGGGTCGGGGTGGGGGAGGACAGGGGGAAAGCAGGGAGATCGAAAGCACGGTCGAAGAGGAGGGTCTTGAGATGGGTCTTGAAGGTGACGAGGGAGGGGGCGAGACGGAGGGACTGCGGGATAGAGTTCCAGAGGGTGGGTGCAGAGTGGCAGAAGGCCCGCCCGCTGATAGTGGGGCGAGCAAGGTGGGGGACGTGAAACAGGCCGGAGCCCACTGAGCGGAGGGAGCGAACAGGGTGGTAGGGGTTAGGAGGTCAGAGAAGTAGGGGGCAGCAAGACCGTGGAGGGCTTTGAAGTTGAGGACCAGGATCTTGAACTGTATCCTCTGTATGATGGGAAGCCAGTGGAGTTGGAAAAGGATGGGGGTGATAGGGTGGCGGAGCCTGGTGCGGGAGAGGACACGGGCTGCAGGGTTCTGGATGATGTGCAGCCTGTGGAGGGAGGAGTTGGGGAGGCCGACAAGTAATAAGTTTGCATAGTCGAACCTTGGTATAATGAAATTATATATGAGGGTTTCGGTGGCCTGCGGAATCTAGAAGATGTGAAAAGCGCTATATGAAATGCAAGGATTATTATTATTACAAATACACTCACTCCATTTTATAGTAAAATACCGTGAAGCACTTTGGTACGTCCTCCTGACATGAAAGGTTCTATACGAAATGCAAGGATTATTATTATAATACTGAAGGTTTAACATGAGACTTTTTAAAAAAATATATAAATCATGTAATAGTTATTTGTCTTGCATTCTGCGAAACACTGCCCTCCTTGCCCTCAAAACAGGGAGGGGATTTTCAGTGGAGACTGACTGACTGACTGAATGTAGAAATAGTAATTTAAATCATAGAGCTTATAAACCTTATCTGATTGTAAGTACACCTGTTGTTTGCAAATGTAGTTGCACATAGGCTAATCAGCTGTACCTCTTCTCACGCAGATACACGAGGAAACACCTTATCAAATTGGTGGAAGAATATGGCAGTGACTGTTGGTGGACTCTGCCTTTGGACCAACTCCTGACTAAGGATATCTTGAAACAGGTAGCCTTCATTAAAAGGCCATAATCTCATGAGTATTGTGCCAAAATCTATATAAAAAAATCATTCAGCCCATTGAATTGAAACTGCATTTTACACGTAACTTGGACAGTACAAATACAGCGAGGCACAAAAGGTGTGCCGATTATGTTGTCTTAATATTTTTATTGTTAAAAAATGAACTCTACTCATAGATTACACATTCCACCAAGTGAATGCTGCTTTACAGTTTAAAAATTTTCTAAATTCTAAGAAAATGTTTTTGTAGCAGTGGGTTCAAGATACAGCTGCCTAGTTTAGCACGCAGACCAGAAGATTATAGATCTGTGCTGAGTTAGCTAGGGATAACCATTGAAACATTACAATTGGCCTTAACATTCATAGTCAAGGAAGCAGAAAAATTACTCTGTGGTTCCCACTCTTCATTGCTATCTGGTGATTCCTGCTGGGAAATGTACATGTAGATATCAAATAAAACCATGTCAGGCTTACTGTCATTCCTCTCCAAGGTCAAATATTCTGGTAATACTTGCTGTCTGGGTTCACACATGATGAATTACCACTTGGCAGAGTTACTCACATCCTTAGAGTCAAACTGCAGCAAGAGTCGATATGTTTAGCACTGGTGAGGGTGGGTGGCGGGAGAAAAAAACCTGTAAGATGATAAAAAAAGAACCAACGCAATGTGTGAGATACTGCATACTGAATTAGGATAACTAGATTTTGAGTCTTTTTTTCCCTGTTCCAGTGAACAAAATATAACTGCATTCCAAACAGTATTAAGTATTAAGAATTGAGAGAAGGGTGTAATGAAGTTTGATTCAAACCAAATTTCATAGGCAGATCTAACTCCACAAATTAGAAGAGTTGAGATCTTTTCAGTGCTCTGCGTCCACCAATTCACAAACACACACATAATCAATCCCATTCCTCAGGATAATTGAAATCCCTTATGTCCCTATAACTTGTGTTTTTGTACTGGATTGTCTGGCTAGAGGTAACTTAATTCAGATCTTGTATGAACTTAATTGTTCTCGATTAAAAAACTATCAGGTTTATGACATCTTTGTTTCCAAGCTTGAATATCACACAAATCTCTTTTTACTGCTGCCCCCAACCCCCCATTCAAGCACACTTGGAACGGAAAGGCACTGTCATTTATAAGAATCTGCTACTGTACAGGAGCTTTCAACAGAATATTCATTGCACTAAAAGCGTTTTAAAAATTAGATGCTCAGCGAGAATGCATTGTGTTGTGACTTTTCTGAATAATCTTGGTCGATATGCTGCATTAAGTTACAGGAGGTATCCCAACAAACTTTCTTTTAAATCATGGACACCTCATTAATATTTATTTATCTTAAGCTGAATAAATCCTAGTTTCTAGCTGCATCTCAATTTATAGCTAAACCTAATTTACAGACTTGATTTATGTTTTTCTGCAGAGCAAAGGGTCAGATGTGTTGGATTATGTGAAGGGAGAGGATGTGTTGGACATCTGGTTTGATAGTGGCACCTCTTGGGCTCATGTGCTAGAAGGTGAGCATATTAATGTTTGATGCGCATTGAAATGAACAGTTTGTTGCATTATATAACAATGGGTGTTCAAAGCTAAAACCTGAATCAAGCTAAAATCATACTAAATACACTGTTGCGAGACATGAACCCGATTATCAGTGAAGGGAAATATTTACAATGAATTTATGTGACTGGTTTCATGCAGTTACCCAGGGATTTTAGTTGGATAAGAACACTTGAAAGCAACTCTACCCCATTTCTATCCCTGGCAACTGTTGCCTTCCATAAGGGATATGTTTGACATAAAATATTGAACTTGATCATATAGTCCTTGAAACTTCAATCAGTTGAGGCCTGTTGTTTTCCAAGGAATGCATCGACAGGAAAATAAATGTGAGGTATTCTAACTCTATGGACAGTAGCTTTCCTTGACTGCTCCATTCTGATTTTCTACTATGACTGGCAGAAAGTTGTATCCCTGTCATCATATTCAGATCTAAGCAAGCCCAGCAAAGAATCACACGTGTTTTGTTTTCCTTTCTGGAATTGAAAAATGATTTGTAGGTAGTGAGTGTACTTTGCGGTCATCTGACTTGATTCTTAGAGGGATCCACAAATGAGACAACTATGCTGGTATCAAAACTTAGGCTTCAGTGATGTAAATGCCTAGAATCTACGCACTTGAAAGGAAGAGCCCAATATTGATGTTGTTTTCCCTGAACATGGAATCAGGAGAACTTTCCCTGCTGTCCCCATCAACTCCCCATTAATTAAATACCAAGGTCACCATCTTGATCTGTTCCTTCTTAAGGAGTTTGTTTAGATAAAGGATGAGGCAGTGTTCTCCCAAGTTTTGGGGGAAATCTAACAAAATACCAGGAGTAGAAACTCTCCATCTTAACTGTTCTGAAAGGACCTCTTATTTCCAGCACTGCAGACATTGTTCAACCTGAATATGCCTATCAAGGAATAAGTCCAGGAGTTTAAATAGAGTGTTCTCGGGCAGCCTTGAAATTGTGATGGGAAAGGATATCAATCTCTACATCACTCAAACAAAGATCAAAGCCATACCAGCAGTTCATTGTTACAGCATGACTGCACTTGAGCGACCCTCCTGATTGCATTTCAAACTGCACTCCTTATGTATATGTAACCAAATTCATTCCCTCCCATCAAAAAAAATTAACTGATTTTTTCTTTATCTCCTTATGTGGATACACCACCACAACCAGCCCCAATCAAAATGACCTTCTATGCTAACATACAAGTTCCATTCTCAATATGTTCGCTCTGAGTTAAGAAAACTTTAGGAAGTTACGGAGGTAACTGATTGTACCTAGACTGATAACATCATATGTTTCTGACTTAAAGTGAGCGTTGGTAGTCGTCATCCATTCCCGAGTACATTTAAACCTCTGAGGGTATTGTGCACATAGAAACATTTAAAAAGTCAGTTGCGGCAAATGTTTTTTAAATTAGTTTGTGCCATAATTATTGTGCTACACATATTTGTGAACTTTAACCCGAAAGTGTGATATAAATCTATAAATGCTCCTTACGTAAATCGTTTATTGCAAGATATGTTTTATGTTGATTGAATTGCTTAGCAACTACATTATTAAGTGCTAGTTATCTCTGGGCTGTTTTTAAGCATTAATCATGTGAAATTGCTAAATACAATGTGACTTCTGATTTTGTAAAGAAAAACTATACATACCAGTTCATTCATTTTATTATTAATTCTGTCATAGGTTTTGTATGTTAGTATAATAACTCAAACTGTGAATGTTAGGATATGTAAAATACAATTATTCTAAAGGTGTTTTGTTTCCTGTTAGTCCAAATGACAGCATGGCACACTGAGTTGAATAGGTTGCAAATATAATTGCAAATTAAGTAAAACTAAGCACAAGGTAAAAACTTAAAGCAAAAAATATGCATCTGGACAGTGGAAGTTTGGCCTTGCTCTATCAAATACATTCTGAGGAATTTCTCCTCAGAACACACTTCTAATATTCATAGAATTACGTAGCACAGAAGGAGGCCATTCGGCTCATCGTGTCTGTGCTGGCTCTTTGAAAAGAGTTATCCAAACCTCGCTCTCTCTCCCCATAGCCCTGCAAACTTGTCCTCCCTAAATAATTATCTACTTCTCTCTTAAAAGTTGTTACCGAATCAGCTTCCACCACCTTTCAGGCAATGCATTCTAGGTCCAAACAACTCGCTGTGTGAAACACTTTCTCCTCGGGTTACCGACCCACCCGCCAGTGGAAATATTGTTTCAGATTATTTTGGCAGTTCATTGTAACTTTATGGCTATGGTTGTGGGGAGGTAGATGAGAAAGTTCAATGCTGCCCTGTTAATCCAAAGAAAACTATATTGTAATCCTTGCATTTGATATAATGCCTTATCATGTCATCGAAATGTCTCAAATTGGTTCATAGAAGTGACTGTATTTGTAGATGAATCCTATCAGTTATGGTATTGTTCTTATCCATTTATATTACCAATGCTCTAATTTCTTCCGCTCCCCCAAAATGTTTAATAATAGACATTTCTTGTGATACAATAAGTAAGTTTGCTGCCAAAGTATACTTTAAGGAGTGCTTGAATTCTAGTACAAATTGTGTATTATGACATATCAAGTTCCTGATGTAAGATGAGCAAAAGCAAGATACTTCTCTTTATGGCGAAAGAGAAAATGCAGGTTTATGAACCCAAGTGGTCACATTTACTGCTATAATCCAGTTTCAGAATCATATTGAAGCGGCCTAAACTCTGACCACTATAGTTGTTCTGGTGAGGATCTAGCAAAGGGAAAGAATATATAAGGCCATGGCACTAAACCATAAGAAAAGGTTCATTGATGAAAGAAGAAACCATCTGAGATGCAACAACAACAAATTACATTTGTATAGGGAGGACGTCCCAAGGCGCTGGACAGTCACGGATTTGAATTACACATTTTTAAAACTTTCCCTCACGCATTTGTTCCTCCATGTCATGGGTTTTTCCTCTGCTTTCCTCTGACATTCTGTGCCATATTTTAGCTCCTTGCTTAACTCCTATGACTAGTTTGTTATCTGCAAGTATGTCTTTTATACTACATTTCAGAATCGATTTTGACCTTCTTTTGACAAGTGAACAGTTAATTAGGCAACAACCTGACAATTAACTTTGATCATGCTTCCATTACTGGCCTGAATATAGTTGTCTCAATTCAAAGCATTTAGCTCATATATATTTTGTTAAAGATGTTGATAGCATATGTTTTACAACAATATTGCTTGCCCACTTGTTTTTTTGCAGGAATAACCAACCATTAAAAACGACCAACAACTTCAATTGAAATGTTAGACCATTTTTAATATGTTTTCTGCTTTGTGGGAACCAGACTCTGGGCTTAATTGAAGGAAATGTTATCCAGCTCAAAACATGTCTGCCTTAAAATTAATTAGACACTTGGTCTTTGATCAGTGCTATCTTTAATATGTACGGAAGCAGAAAGCTGCCACCTTGAGAAGCTCTTGGTTAAAAAAAATTCACTCCATTCTCCTGACAATAGGAAATCAGAGAGCAAATAAATGAGTCTTCAGCATTTTGTCAGCATTAGACTGGAGCATACGAATAATGGAAATTGCGTTCGGGAATTACTTGAGCCCGTCACATCTAATAATAATAATAATCCTTGTATTTCATAAATGTCTGAGACACTGTTGAAATCTACGTTGACTAGATATACAAACTTCTTCTAAGCATCATTGCTAAGGTGGACAACTTTGAATTTATGTCACAGGGCACTTCTCAAATTCCTGGGACTAACAAAGAAACCATTTGATTGACAAAATCGTTCTTCAGATATAGAGCTAATTCTGCTCAAGAGCTTCAAATAAATTTACCTTAGAAACATCTCAGATAGAGACTCTAATTCACTGTATAAAATCTCTATTAAACAGATGTATTTGAGGAGTTGGTGCAACTAGGAGAAGTTTCCCAGAGATTTTCAAGAATTCTAACACAGTATAAGTTCTCATAGCACTGACAATCATAATTATTGGTGAGCTGCTGAGGTTTTGTTCTATCGACAGGTCGACAGAACAAACACATGATGTACATGAACTTATTACATTTTTACAAGCAGTGACTCATTAGCAGCATCCTTTCAAATTCATCTGTTGGGAGTATATTACAAAGCCTATGTAGGATACAATACTGGCTACAAAATTCTACATACAGCCCCTCCCTCTTAATTTCTTGTTAAAAATTGCACAATAGCAAACTATTTTTGTTGTTCCATTATTTATGAATGCAGAGAAAGTTTATTCCTATAGATTGAAAATCAATACCTAGGAGGCATAAATTTAGGACCGATGCTGGAAGAAATAGAAGAAATATTATGCAAAAGTTGTAAGGACATGGAACATTTTGCGGAAGTTATTGAGGCTAAGGTCATAACATTGAAAAACAAATTGGAATATATTTGAAGAGAAAAAGTAGTTTCTGAAAGTGTATCAGAAAGGATCAGAAAATTTGGATTTGAGTAGTTAGCTCCAGTGGAGAAGCAGACACCAGCATAAGATTGATAGACTTATGAGTTTTGAGCCTGAATTGTACTGTGCTTTTACTGGATATATAGTTAGGTTTTCTGATAACTTTTCCTTTCAATGCTCTCATTTTCTATTGAACATTTTGGGAAATGTATATATGGGAAAGAAGTAGCCTTGTGTGCAGATTTGGTGAAATTAAAACTTTGCGCTTTTCTATTTTGCTTTCTAGCCTGCTTTAGTTCAAAAGTTGACTGACTTTGAAAAGCACTAACTGCTACTTTGGTGCCAAAGGTTCACTTGCTTTTTGATTACACTAGAGTATGTTTTATCAGTATTTCGTTTATGGTTTGCTTGCTCACAAAAGTAAATGTACTTATCGCGTTGCCTTTGCATACTTTGGTATTTTTTGAGAAGGTGAAGTACATCTAAGTTATATGTCGCCCTTAAACTTAGGACCTTGGAAACGATTATTGCTATCTCATAGTCGGGAAGTATTATCCAACAATCTATGCACTTTCCCTTACCCTCATCCCCACCCACTAATTCATCCATCTATCTGTCCCTGTCCACAAGCGGTGGCTACTTTGAAAGTATATCAAATTCCTACAGCCATTGTTAGAGAATCTGGAGAAGTACATTTTATATTTTTGAGGCCAATGTGCAAGATAAAATAGGATCTGATATTTTGAAATATGAATTAATCTGAGGAGTTCACATTGGTCCCAGCACCAAAATGTTCGTGAAATACCTGACCTCAAAAGTCACCAATTTATGCTGTACTTATAAGGAAAATACCATTGTTCTGTTTTTTTCTGTGTTCCTGTTTAGTTTCTTCAGTTTTAAATGTTTCCTATCATCTTTTTATTTTCTTCAGATTGACATTGAATAATTAATAATGAAAACCTTCCAAATAGATACAATTTGAATTTCTGTTCATTCTGGCCCTTTAGACTTATAAGGAACATTTTCTGCTAATATTGGTCTGATGAAGGAAGCACATAATAAAATTGGTCATTCACTTCATGTGGGTAAGAGAAAGATATTGCTGAGATCAAAATACGCAATCACTTCACAGAAAGTTTATGAAGAGCTTTGAAACATTCTCGACATTACAGGAGTTGTGCCAAATATAAAGGTTATTATTTATTACTAATCACTTCTACATTTCAGTTCCATTTTTGATGACCTCCCTATATGCTACCGAGAATTGTGATTTATTAATAACCTCTTCAATCCCCTTCCAATTCATTGCATCAAAATATCTTTACACAGAAGTGCCAGAGAGGGCCAGCAGGTGGTTTGTCCTTGCAAGTTGCCTTGAAATGAATTACTGACTTACAGGTGCCAAACAGCTAATCTACTTTCGCACAGAAAAGGAATGAAAGGCTGAAGGGAGAGGTACCTCAGGCAGGCTTTGAGAACTCCTTGACAACCATGGGTAGAAGTGTTGTTCACAATGGCCTGGCAACAGTTTGATTGTCTGCTGTCTCAGCCAGAGAAATTGAATAGCAATATGAAAACCAACGATCAGAAGAAATAAATCTCTTTTTTAAAAAACAAATCTCAGGGAATGTAGGTGCATCATGACTTTACCTCAAGATGTTCATGAGATGCAATATTGAACCTCTGATATGTTCTTCCAGAAGGCCTGACTTGGTTAGTAATAAGAGGGTATCAATTTAAGATAGTTAGCAAACAAGCAAATGGGGGGGTTAGGAGAGTTTGTTTCATACACAGAGTATTTAGGATATGTCCTGCTAGAAGCGGTGTTTGAGGAAGAATCCATATCGGTTTTCAAAATGGAACTAGATAAATACAAAAAAATGTAAATTAAAGGGTTATAGAGAAAAGGCAGGTAAATGAGAATGAAAGGATTGCTGTCTAAACAGTTAGCACAGACACGATCGTCCAAATGGCCCTCTTCTGTGCTGTAAATTTCTATGGTTCTGATTGACAAGCCCAGGCTCTTATAGGTGGCTCTCAATAGCAGATACTGCTGGATGCAAACTCTGTCACCAGAGGAGAATTGGTGGTATATGGGGTAGAAAATAATAACAATCCTTGTAATTTACATAGGGCATGTATTGTCCAAACATCTCCCTGTGCTTTTCAGGGAATTGCTATCAAGTGTAGTGCCTGTATTTATAAACAACAGAGCAGCATCCCATAAACACCTATGAAGTGAATGAATAACCAGTTTATCTGGGAAATTGTTAGCCAGAACAAAGGGAAAAACTCTGTCCTCTTTCCGATTAGTGTTGTTGGAATCCTTAAAATCCACCTGAACAGAGCCACTGTTTAATGTCTCATCTAAAAAAAATCCACAGATGTAGCGTTTGCTCCTGCTGGGAACCAGATGGGTGCCATGTGGACTCATGGGTTCCACGCAATCTGCTTTCAAAGCTGAGTTCCTGGAGATTGGTGGGATGCACTTCCAGTTACCAGCAGGAATCACTGTTTGCAAATCCAGATATAAAATACTCCTAATCAACCCCAATGTTGTCATTGCTGTGCTGTGCATGGAGCTTTCTTATTGACTTGCTTTTAAAAAAACGTATTTAAGAATTTCTACCAGTATGGATACAAACACAAGTACAGTATAAATGGGTTATTAAAACATCTCCCAAGTTCTTTCATAGACAATATATTTGTTTGTCTAAGTTGAATTGGATCATGACCAAAATGAATGTTTTTTATTTGCAAAACAGTAAATATTGATGCATCCAGGCTCGGACTAGTTATTTTAACATGAAGAGCAAAGTAACTGAGGTCAGCTGGCAGCCTGGAACTGCCTTTAGGAGTGGAGGGGAGAAAATTGCGAGGATGGAAGTTGAAAATTTAACAAATTAAGAAAAATACCAACAACCATTTGATTTGCTTAATTACAAAATTATGTTTCAAAATGTGTTTTAACATTTATATATGAATCTTAACTANTTTTTCTCACACTCCCTCTCTTTTCCAGATGTAAATTATGTAGCAGATGTGTACATGGAAGGGAAGGACCAGCTGGGGGGATGGTTTCAATCCTCTCTGCTCACCAGTGTGGCAGTCAAAAAACAGGCTCCATATAGGTTAGTGTTGTCACATTACATCACATCTCTTTGTCCCTAGGGTCCCAAACTAGATAGATGCACATTTTTGAGTTTATTACGGATGTCACATGAAGCAGTAAGAATCAATTTGTGATTTTTTTGATTTGTACCATTTATTATTACTTTATTTTGAACATTGGAAAATGAAGTGGTTTTGGGGCATGTGTTACTGTTGATCTATTGAAATTGAGTTGGATTGTTCTATGTGTTTAATTTTTCAGTGCGATTATTCCCTTCCTTCCTCCAAAGTCGTGAGGATGAGTCATACTCGTCATTTTTGTAATGTGCCTCCATCTTGTGTCCTTCATTAACAGGAATTTAAACTAAACCCCTAGACCCTACCCATGTTTTATTATCAGTTTAGGCTGGGATTTGAATTTCCATGCAAAATAATCTCAATACAACCTTTTATTGTGTTCATAATTTTCTTCTCATTGAGGGCATCCAGCCTCAATACTGACATTATTACTTGAATAGTTCTCTCCTCCCGCGCCCCATGTCAAGCCAATTCTCTTCTTTATCTCAGAAAGCAGAGTGAGTAATCTAGTTTCAGACTTGTCTACTCCCAGCTCGCTGCCAGGAAATCTTTAGTAGAGTCTGATGAAACCTTCCCCCAACTGTTTACTTTAATTTGTTCCTGTCATCCTTATGGGAGCTCTGTGTGAGATTCCTAATTACAATACCCTTTTTTGGCTGAATTATAATAATAATCCTTGCATGTGATATAGCGCTTTTCAAGTCTTCTAGACGTCTCAAAGCACTTCACAGAATATACTGAAAAGTGAATTGGCTATATATTTGTGGGCGAAACACGGCAGCCAATTGCGCACAGCAGTGTCCCACAAACATTCATAGATTGAGTGACCAAATTAATATTTTTTTGAAGGATTATTATCCCCAGAAAAGCGATCCGCCAATTGACTTAACAACCGAGTTCCTGCTTACTGCTAGGTAAACAAAGGCGTGTGGAGTAAGGAAACTTGCCCAGCATTTCGCCCTGCCAGGAATCGAACCCAGGTCTCTTGCTTGTGAGGTGAATGCTCTAACCACTGAGCTACAGGACTCCACAAATAGACTAGGAACTGGGTTGAGATGGTGACAATTAATTTCATACAGCCTGACAGCCAGCAATTTTGAAACCGTTCAAACCCAAGTTCCAGAGATGTTCGGATAATGGGTGACCACTATGTCACTTAATTCCCCCCCCCTTCTAATGGCATGGTTTAAGTTGTTTACAGCTTGATAAATTATTCCACATTGTAGTTGTTCAATCCATAGTGTTCTATACCATTTTTTTTGATCTGTGTGTCTGCCACAAGCAGAAACCTATCACCATGCTTAAGAGTTATTCAAACTAAACTGAGAGTTTCTTGCACACATGGAAATTCCCATGTCTAGAATCGAATGTTGATTCTCTCCTTGGAGGGACACGTCTGCTAGTAGTTGATCAGCCTGTCTGTTTTAACAGTGAGAATGAGGCCCTCCAGCCAAGGCCCTACCAGCTGTGCTGGGGCAGTTTCGTCTGAACAATTACCATGCTGCACAAGTACTTTATATTGTTTTGTGAAAGATAGGCTTAAGTTTTAATAAATGTTGAACATTTTATCAACAGGAATCTGGTAGTTCATGGGTTTACCCTCAGTCAGACTGGAGAGAAGATGTCCAAATCCTTAGGCAATGTGGTGGATCCAGATGTTGTTATTAATGGAGGCCAAGTGAGTCGTCATTTTATCGCATCATAAAATGCATTTTGCTAACGGACACAATTTTGTTGTATAAATTGAAAGTAACATTGTAAATTCTATTTGAAGGATTTCTCATTTAAAGGACTCCATCAGGGTTTCATCCTTGTGGGGATCACAGACACACATCGTTTATGCTAGCGTGGCACAGACGTAGTGTGGAATTCATTTACTTTATTATTTATTTAAAGCTATATTATAGATGGTCCTGTTACCAGATATAATAAACTGTTTTATTAGCCGATTTATGGAGATAATTTGAGAGTTTATAAACTGGGTACTTTAACCATGTACTTAATCCGCGTACTTTATCCGTGTTTGTGTTTTAAAATACAATCTTATATTCAGTTCATTGGTCTTTTTAATCAGGACCCAAATAAAGAGCCGCCCTATGGAGCAGATGTTCTCCGCTGGTGGGTAGCAGAGTCCAATGTTTTTACTGAGGTGTTAATTGGGCCAAACATACTGAATACAGCTAAAGAAAACCTTTTTAAGGTAAGCATAATAGAGGAAAATGAACCAAAAAACATAAATTTACAAATTGATTAGCTCAGGGAATTCTTATATGTTAAATGCAGTAGTTTATTACTTCCATGTGACTTGTAAGCACAATAACTACTTACATTTATATAACATCCTTCACGCAGGAGAGCGTCCCAAGAGCGCTTAGCAAACCTACACTTAGCATCCCCTCCAAATCACATGGTCACTATACTTTTCAGTGTATCCTTTCAAGCGCTTTGAGACGTCCTCTGGATGTAAAAGGTGCTATATCAAACGTAAGGATTATTACTATCATTTATCTTTCTTGTTAAATTCAATAAAAAAAATTGAATTTAGTAAGGAAGGAAATGAGTTTTTTTAAATATAAATAAATGGTTGCTCAGAAATAAATATGTCACAGAGAGAATTATTCCCTACTTGGTTGGTGCAGCTGTGCTTCTGGGCAAGCTGCATGGAGAGGAGCGGGGCAAAACTGTTTCATGAAGTTCATTTTGGTATTTTTTTTTCAGTTACGAAATACTCTGCGCTTTATGTTGGGGAATCTGAACATTTTTGATCCAGAGACCGAGGCAGTTCCCAGTGAACAGTTGCAGATCCTGGATCAGTACATGCTTCATCTGCTTCAAGAATACAGCACTGAGGTAAAATACAGCAACAGAAAGAGTTTTATATTCAAATCAGTAAGGCATTAATTGGTCATTTACAAATAATAATGAGATCCTAAATTTTGCCTATTAACACGGTTACCTTTGGGAGTTTTGAACAATTGATCACCCTATTGGTACCAAGAAATATGTTTGGAACCAGTCTGTTAAAATTTGTTTTTCCCAATCACTCACTGAGTGATTACTACTAGGTATTGGTTGGGAAAGTCCCAGGTTTGAGCTCTTTAACTGCAGCCATTTTCTGATTCAACTGTGATAAAGTATATGCAAAGTGACAAGTTTATATCCTGTAGCATCACAAAGGTATTTAAATACTCGACTACCATTGATATGGAGATGAACTAAAAAGAAGACACTTAAACATCACCACATTGGTGGGTATCGCCTTCTATTATTATTTGGCCTGTGCAGTAAATTACATTGTCTGATGGATTTTTTCAGGTTACAGAAGCTTACAAACAATACGATTATGGAAAAGTCATTCGCCTTATGTCAGCGTTTGTTAACCGGGACCTGTCTAACTTCTACTTCACCATCATCAAGGATCGGTTAGTATTAGTGGCAAATGACATTACATGCTGAAGAAAGTCATCCGTTCAAATCATTGTCATTTTTTAAAAAAAGGATAAAGGTACAGTGAAAAAATTAATAATAATGGAAAATAATTTTCAGGCCTGGCATAATTGCATAGATATCATGCATGTTAGTTTAAACTTTACAAGTATATTCTTGTGTTTGTCTCCAAGATGTTACACAGTTCATCTTTTTCAACAATCTTGTGTTAAAATTGCAGGCTTTATTGTGAAGATGTGAAAGCCCCCAAGCGTCTATCATGTCAGACAGTTTTAGAAAAAGCATTAGATGTAGTAACTCGTTCTGTGGCTCCAATTCTCCCTCATCTAGCGGAGGAGGTATTCCAACACCTGCCCTTCAGAAAAGGTACAATTTATCTAAAGTTGTATTTATTTTGTCTCCATTTAAAAATATTAAAGGTATGATAGAAAATACATTAAATGTTTATCCTGATCGAAGGACTCTGACCCCGGGGGCTAACCTCTCCTCTCTCATCCACATCCCCACACTCTCTGCCAACCAATCCACTAACCCCTCTCATCCCACACATCCCCCTGCCAACTGTCCACTCCGCAATGGCCTTCAAAATGTCGTTGATACTATGGCCCTCACGGAAACCTGGATCACCCCAGGTGACACTGTTCCCCTCACTGAGGCCATACCACCCGGCTACACCTACCACCATGCCCCACACCCCAACTGTCTCATCTCCAGGGCATCACTTGCCCTATCCTGACAGCATCAGCATCCAAGGCTGCACTCTCCACCTCTCAAAGCCAGTCAGGAACCTCGGTGTTCTGTTTGAACCTGAGCTGTCCTTTCTTCCTCATATCCGCGCCACAACTGGCACCACCTTCCATTACCTCCGAAATATCGCCAGACTACGGCACTACCTCACCCCTCACGCTGCTGAAACTCTGGTCCACGTCTTTATCACCTCAAGGCTGGACTATGGGAACTCTCTCCTCGCCGGCCTTCCCGGCACCTCCCTCCACAAGCTGCAGGTCATTCAGAACTCTGCAGCTCGTGTACTGTCCCGCACCAGGCTTCGCGACCACATCACTCCCACCCTCGCTTGCCTCCACTGGCTCCCCATCCCCCAGAGGATCGAATTCAAGATCCTCATCCTCACCTACAAGGCCATTCACGGCCTCGCTCCCTCCTACCTCTCTGACTTACTATCCCCCTACCTACCCGCCCGTACCCTCCGTTCCTCTGGCTCAGGTCTGCTCCACATCCCCCGCCCCAACCGCCCTACCATCGGTGGCCGGGCCTTCAGCCTCTCAGTCCCTAGTCTCTGGAACTTCATCCCCCAGTGCCTTCGCCTTGCTTCCTCCCTTTCCTCCTTCAAGGCCGGTCTCAAGACCTTTCTCTTTGCCCGTGCCTTCAGCTCCCCTCTCGACTCTCTCCCTCCTCCTCGCTCCCTCCCTTCCCTCCCCTCACCATTTCCCCCCTGCTCGGGTCCTGACCCAACTGTACAGCGCCTTGGGACGTCCTCCCGACGTGAAAGGCGCTCTATAAATGGAATCTTGTTGTTGTTGTTGTTGTATCCCCTTACTCCGCCAGCTCATTCCTCTCTTTTGAATAACTTACTCTCTGCCATCCCCCACATCTCTCACTAAAAATTCTCCTATTTACCGCGCCCCAAAATCCTGCTACACACATTCACAGCCACCCGCTCGACCTGGTGATCACCCGGGGCCTCAGCATCTAGGATGTCACCATCACCGACAGGGCCATCTCTGACCACCATTTAATCTCCCTTAACGCCTATATCCCTCTTCCCACTGCCTCCAAACCTACCACCATATTCTACTGCCCATGGAAGATCTCCCTGCAATCCCTCTCCGCTGCCCTGGAGTCCTCTGAACTCATCCCCCTCTGGCCCACCTCCTGCACCAACCCATCCTCTGCGTTTACTCTCCTCCACAGCACCCTCTCCACCACACTCGATGCCTTTGCCCCCCTCACCTCCCGAACTGCTTCCTATTCCCGATCCTCATCCTGGTTCACCAGCCACCTCCGCTTGCTTAAGGGCTAGGTGCGGGCTGCTGAACGCACTTGGCTCAAATCCAGCCTAATGGTCCACCGGCACATCTGGCTGGGCCACATCAAAACCTACCACTCCGCTCTCACCTCGGCCAAATCGTCCTTCTACTCCAGGTTGATCTTGGAGCTGAAGGACAACCCCAGGCTCCTGTTCTCCACCACCAACCAGCTCCTCCACCCTACCCGCCATGCCTCGCAGATTTTTTCCTCCAATTCCCACTGCAAGTCCAAAATCGAGGGAATCCGTTCAGCTGTCACTGCCCTCCCAACTTCCACCCGCACCCCAACCTCTCCACGGCTGCACACTCAACTTCACTAAGCCAGTCAGGAACCTGGGTGTCTTGTTTGACACTGAACTGTCCTTTCTCCCCCACATCTGCACCATGACCAGCACTGCCTACCACCATCTCTGCAACATTACCAGACTCCGCCACTGCCTCACCCCTCAGGCTGCCGAAACCCTCACCCACGCATTCGTCACATCAAGGCTCGATTATGGAAATTCTCTCCTCATCGGCCTTCCCAACTCTTCCTTTCATAAGCTGCAGACCATCCAAAACTGCAGCTTGTGTACTCTCACGCACCAGGCTCCATGACCCCATCACTCCCACCGTCGCCTGACTCCACTGGCTCCCCATCCCCCAGAGGATCGAACACAAGATCCTTGTCCTCTCTGACCTGCTGACTCCCTACCAACCTGCCTGCGCCCTCCGTTCAGCGGACTCTGGCCTGCTCCATGTCTCCCGCCCGACCTGCCCTACCATGGGTGGCCAATCTTTCAGTCTCTCTGCCCCCAAACTCTGGAACTCCATCCCACAGTCCCTTCACCTCGCTTCCTCCCTTGCCTCCTTCAAGGCCTGTCTCAAGACCGTACTCTTCAATCGTGCCTTCGGTCGTCCTCCCACCACTCTGCCTTTCCTCACCCCTACCCCACCCTTCCCCCATGCTTGGGTTCTGACCCCTGACTGTCCAGCCCCTTGAGATGTTGAAGTGAGGAGCTTCTGATTAATTTGGTCATTCTATTCACTTTCAGATCCTCTGAGCATCTTTCGTACTGGCTGGATAAAGACCAGTTTTATTTGGAAGAAGCCAGGTGTGGTGGAGGCCATTGAGGGGGCCTGTGAAATGAGAGACCGCTTTTTTGGTTCCATCCCTGGCAAAAATACAATGGAATATGATGTAACTGTAATCATCAATCCCAGTCTACTACTGGAGCTGATGGAGGTAAATCCAACATTAACATTCTCTACATAGAGGTGGCATTTAATAAAAGTTATGATAACACTTAAGTTTATCAGGTGTTTAAATCATTTGGGAAGGAATGCAGTTCTTCAAAACATGCTTATTGAGTGCAGTTCACATACCAGTGCAAAACATTGTTCGTTGTTTAAGAAGGTTCAGTATTACAATTGACTATTTTGTTCTTGTATCAGAAATTAGGAAGCAGTTGTGGATCAGAAGGGAGATATATAGGTAGATTTTTAATCTTGTCACTCGCATAAAATGGCTCTAACTGTTCAACGCTGCCCTGTGGAAAATGCTGTTAGATTTGACTCCGTGCCTCAACATACCTTAACATTTCACATGTTGAAGTTCATCACAAAAAAAAAATTTCTCACTCAATCCACAACTGTTTGAGGGACACTGCTGTGAGCAATTGGCCACAAAGTAGTCAATTCACTTGACAGTATATTCTTGGAAGCACTTTGAGATGTCTTTGTTATATATACTTTGCTATATCAAATGCAAGAATTATTATTATTTGAAACAAAGTACATATTTGCGTACAGTACTCTCTTACAATACAATCTATACTTCTACATTACCTTTCATGTTGGGAGGGCATGCCAAAGCGCTTTAGGTTCTTGACTATAATGCGCACTTAGGTTACGGACTCATTTCACTCAGAAGGAAGCTTGGATAAGTAATCCAATTGTGCGTTTATCTGTTTTGTATTCACAGACCTTGCAAGCAGAGGAGACGTCCAGCACATCACAGTTGAATGAAATAATGATGTGCTCCCACACCACAATACTTACCAGTGTCCCCCGCGATCTGCCTACAAATGCTGTTCTTATTGAAGGAAAGTTTGTGATTAATTTACAAGGTAAATAACCTTTATCTGTAATATTTCATCATTACTTCAAACTTACATTTTCCTTCAACTTTGCATATTTGAACGAAACAGCTCGCTAGAAATAATCAGAAAAAATCCTAAATAAGAGTAGGATAGTTTAGCTGCAGTTATGTTTCAGTTGTCAAAAAGTGGCAATGATGATTCCCTCACTTATTATTTTACACCAAACATAGAAACATTCTCAAAAATCATGCAGGAATAAAATACAGAATTTAACCTGGTTTAATTTTAATTATAACCCAAGGTTGTTGGTCATCCCACAAACCCGGTGTCACAGTGACAGCTTCCATAGGATGTTTAGTCTCCGGGTAAACTCAGTGATTGAAGATCTTTTAAGTCTGTCTGGATAAACCTATCTGGATGATTTTGGGAGTATTCTAATTGGAGGTTGAATAGAGAGAGAACTGTTTTTGTGTCATGTTTTCTTTTTGCATTAAATGTGATTTCCTCCCCCCCTCCAATTGCTTGATAGGTGGTGATATTTGTGAGGAATCTCCATACCAGGTCATTGTTCAGCCAGCTGTCAAAGAAAGATGTCCTCGGTGCAAGAAGTACACATCAGATTCAGTGCTTACACCTTGCTCTCGCTGCTTGGAAGTCATTGCTGGGAAGTGGAGTGTTTAATGCTTTTCTCAAAGGACAGATAATGTAAATGCTGAACATTGGGATACAAGATCAAACAGGCACCTTGCAGTAGTTTGTATTCCAGCATGATGGAATTCATCCAACCACTGGTAATCTTTCATTTTAACAGCCCTGTATCAGAGCTGTTAAACTCCCTTCAGTGTAATTCAGAACAGTAGATGGGTCTGGCTTCTGAGAATGAAAAGAAATGTCTTGCGACCCAATGGTTTCAGCCTCATGGAGCCTTAATTTTAATTAAGTTTCTGTTAGTTGAACCAAAATGGAACTATTTCTAGACTAATTTCCTTTGGAAGTGAATGTATGTTGATAACATGTAGAGCGAAACCATGGTCTCCCATCTTGTGCTTCATAACTTCCAGAACCAAATCTGAGTCTTTGTGTGAATATTACATGCCATGTATTGGTCCAATATCTGCCTGTTAATTTGGAAACAAATCGTTCTACGTGTGGAAATTATAGAAGAAGCAACCCCAAAGAGAGCTTTTCTCTGCCCCTCACTGTTTATGCAAAACTTTTCTAATTTTCTGCAATCTTGCTTTCATTATATCAATGTCAAATACTCTTCCCAGTATATTCTTGAAAATCCCATTTTCAAATGATGGTACCATCATGTTAAAGCCATAATTAATTAAGAAGTGGATGTGTATCAAGTGACCAACTAATGAAACCTAATGGAAGATCCAGAGTGGTAATATTGTCTGATAGTTTTGATCTTTGAAGTACCCAAAATTTTGGATCGAAGTTCAGTGATAAAATCAAATTGTATTAGGATATTGTCACCCAGATTTGGTATTCTTTTCCATTTATTCTTAAGTGAATAGATTTACAGCGGTCATAACAGAGCTCAGGAACAATAGTCCTGAGTTTGTACCCATGTTTGCCTTTTCTTTGAGTGTCAGTGTGTAGATTGCAGAGATAAACATTACTTATAAATCAGCTTGATCACAACTACAGTGCATGTGTGGTGCAGGTATATTGAGTGCAATGAACACTGGGAACCTAGATTCCTAGACCCTTGAAGATAAGAGGTTTGCATTCCATGAATGCTTTCTAGTTTAATTTTGTTGCAAAACCGAGTTGCTGCAAGAATACTTCAACTCCACGATCTCTCTTTAATCGGTCAAGGGACAGTGAAAGGAAATGCTTCCCACCAGCTTTCCTCATGTCTTAAGAAATTGACGGATAAACTTGCATTTAATTCAGTTTATCATTCCCTCAAGACCTTTTCAAAGTGGGTATATTCTGGATACCTGGCAAGCCATTCACTACAGATAAACTATAATCTTTTAATCTTGCTTAATTGAAATATAAAATGTGTCAGTCTGGTCTAGTTGGTAGCACTCCCACTTGAGTCAGAAGGTTGTGACTTCAAGCTCCACCTCAGCATTGAACACTGAGTCTGGACTAACACTCCAATACATCGTCAGATGTTGTCCTTCAGATCATGCATTAAACCGTGATCATGGCTACCTGTTCAGGTGAATGTTAAAGATCCCATGACACTATCCAAAAAGGATAAAATTGGTCACTTCATAGCTAGTTGTGGGACATTGCTGTGTGCAAATTAACGGCTGCATTTTTGTCTGCAAAAGTAGTTAATCCTGTGAAAATCAACTATTTTTGTAGATAAATGCAGCAGTTAATTGTTCCACAAACAGTTCTGTGTGAAAATCAATTTGAGACATTACCCTGACATGAAAAGCATTGTATCAAATGGTAGGATCATTTTCAGTAGAAACAGACTTGCTAATGATCAAATTAATCTTTTTGCAGAAGACAATGAGGTAGTTAGTGCCATGGATATTGCAATGCCTCCCACTTTGCATGTAGTTATTCCAAGATTAAAAACAATTTTAAAAAATTAGAAATGGGAAAAGGGCAGAGGGACTATGATGCAAGTATTTACACCCAAAATATTGCATTTTCTTTATGGGGTGGGGGGTAAAATGGGTAGTTTGCAATAAAATTCACTAAAGGTATCAACCTAGGAATTCTGTTTGCAATTTTTGGAGTTTCAGGAATGCTGTCTGCTTTGAGTGAGGTGAATGTACTTCTGGTTAATTGTGGAATTCCATGTTAGCAACTGTTGCTAAGTTCTGAATCATGTTGTGAATGTTATCCTTGATGTCTGTTTTAGTTGATATTGCTAATTGTGAGAGCCTACTTAGGTACGATAACATCTCATCACATGGAAGGAGCCAGAGACATTTTGTTCTCACTCCTCATCGCCCACAAATTGATGTTCCCCAATAAGGAAATTATAGAACCATGCAGAACTCTTTCCACCACAAATCTGAGATGGAATAGAACTTGTCTTCATTTAGAGCTTACAGTTGCCAATTGCTGCAGTGTAGCTGTAATTGTTTTACACCTAAATCTTGTATTTCATAGAACAGTGTTTACCAGATAATCACCCACTCAGATGAGCACTCGAGAAACACTAGGTACACTTGTTCTGAATATAAAGGAACAAAAAAGCATCTCTGGCCCAGTTATTTTAAACATTTTATTTATTTGGTTGATGAGTCTAAAGCAATAAACATTAATTTACAATCTGCTTTACATAAGACTAGTGGTTCCACATCCACTAAATAGTGCGGCAAAGTTGCTGTACACATTGATAAATTGTTATTGGTATCTCTGACCATTGTTGCTACAATATTCTTTTTTTCCCACAAAGGTTCATCTACTCTCTACTTTGTCAACTTCTACAAAATGCATGACTAATTGAGGGAGTAAAACATCTTTACATTAAGAATCCTGAAACATTAAAGTTTTACAATTTTAAAAACTGCCAGGAGTTGTGCGAAAGTGATAATTTATCTCTTAAAATGGCTTAAACACAATTGTATTGGCTGATAAACATTAAATAGTCTTCACAAAGTCAGCAAATTAGTTGGTAAAATGGTGAGAAAAGTCAGCTTTTCACTTGGATTTAATGTGTTAACTTCAGACAAGAGGGAAACGAGTATGTAACATTCCCGTTCAATAGTGCTCCAAACAATCCACTGCTAATAGAATAGTGGGAAGAGGAGTTTGTTACAAGTTATATGGCTTGTACCATAAAAATGAGACCACACAGGTTAACTCATGCACTACACATGTAATACGGTATCATTTGCTTCTTGCATCTCTTCCACCTTTCTGGATCACAAAATGCTGCAGAACCATGACAATATCAACTTTTCGCGGTAAAATAACTTGATATAGGTGAAGAAAAGTTCAGTTATGTAACACTGGACATGCATTGTGTGGAACATGTATCAAACAAAAGAAATTGGAAACTAATCATGGACTGAATTCACAGCCATGACAATGCCCATTCAAAACATGATTTCAACAACTCAAAATGGCCTATTTACATCAAACAATCCCACACTCCTCATATAGATCTAATGTGAATAATACATCAAACCAAAGCAATATTCCATTAATTTAAGTGTTCCTTTAAGTCGCACTTGTATTGATATACAAATTGGTAACTGCTTGTCATGAAGGGGACATGGCTTCGACTGCCTCCAATAGATGCAGGACCAAGTTGTACTGGCCATGGTTCTCAGGTAAGAGTTCTATCACTTTGTTTACCAGTTTAGATGTTGCTGCAATTGGCACATTAGTGTTCTGAAGATCTTGAGGGTTCTGTCAATTGTACAAAATGCAGTTATTGGTACAGGGAAGAGTCACACGGAGCATATTAACTTGCTGGATCTAAAATTTTACTTGGAAAAGATTATGTGACCAACAGTGGAAGACCAAGCATCCTGGCAAACTTCTAATCTTTAGGCTACCAAAACAAGGAGATGGACTAGATTAGGACAGACCAGGTAAACAAATTAAACAAGGCACCAGGGAATGATCGTCAACGTGGGGACAGTGAATTCATTTAAGGAACAGCTCAATTCAGTTGGTATTCTTAAAGAATTAAAGGCCCTTCATTCAAACCACTTATAATTTGAAGGGTTTAAATTGATCTCAGCTTTCTGCAAATACCAACACATTTTTATAACTTAGACCAGTTTAGTGTTGTGGTCTCAACCATCCTTCCTGATTGTAGCGGTTTATTCCTTTGTGTAAAGAATTACTTCATGTGGCCCCCTCTCATCTTACAGCCCTTGGTTTGATTGAAATTTCTGATGCACTTCCACTTTAAAGTTTTACATCATATTAAAACAATTCTCAGTCAGGTGTTCAGATCAATGAAGTCAGACTGAGTGTTACAATGACTCTGCAAGAAAAATGACTGACTGTCCCACTACTAGGCTGCCATTGAAATTGCTTTGGGTTCATGTGCAACCAGCAGAATCCTGACGATCTTGAAGGTGATCATTTTTCAGCTCGGAAAACAAAGGTCGGGAATACATCTATATTAAACTGGAATGTATTATCATGAGGCTGCTCATTTAGGTTTTAATATACTTTTTTTTAAAAATCCCAAATTTCCTCTCCTTGCAGCTCTTTGTGTCAAAAAGGTTGAATGGCATAGTGGTGTTTGGAATAGTCAACCTGCTGCTTTAGATGTCAAAAAAACAAAAACAGAAATCATTGGGAACATTCAGCAGGTCAGGCGGCATTTATGCAGAAAGGAAAGTGAGTCAACTTTTCGGGTCCTCGACCCTTTGTCAGAACTGGGGCATGTTGGTGGGGTGGGGGGGAGAGAGAGGCTTCTAAGGGCTAACAGAGGGGGAAGGCAGGGCAAGGAAGACAAAAGAGAAAATGGGCTAGAGGACAGGGGATGATGGGGCAGGGCAATAGAGGTGTTAATACTGCAGAACAAAGGATGGGGGAGGGGAAATTGTAACAAAACGGGCAGATCAGAGAGAAATGGTGTGTCTGGGACCAAATGGTGTGGTAATCGTTACAGAAGAGGGGGAATGTGAGCTGTTATGGTCTGAAATTGTTGAAATCAATATTGAGACCACAGAGCTGTAAGGTCCCAAGCAGATAAATAAGGTGCTGTTCCTCGAGCTTGCGCTGTGGCTCATTGGGATGTCTTTAGATGTCAACTTTTGTCACCGACTGCATGGGTGAATTGGGAACAATCAGTTGCTGAGAAAAATGTACAATGTTTAATGGTTTCAAAGCTACAGCAGAACATTGCCATTGTGCACTTCATTGTTACAATCTGTCACTATAGTATTGTAAATATTCTTGATTTAAAAAAATCTTTTAGTAGAAATACTCACCATGGCCTTAAGCCATGTACATAGCATCGGAGGGAGCCTGGCCAGTAGCTCCATGCCTTCCTTGGTTTGTGTATGAAGTAGAGCGTATGCAAGCCTCTGCCCTGTTAGCACAAGCAACTGTGATGCCAGCACCTCTTGGTCATGCACCTGGAGAATGGCCTGAAAATGAATAAAAGCATTAAGATTGTACTATGACTAAAATCTTATTACAGTAAACTGATAACTTGTCATTTTATGCGAAAAGGACTCGGCCATGTTTACAGTGGTTGTAGAGGGGTATGAGATTGACCAATCTTCCTTGTTAAAGGAATATAATTTGAGGGAAGAGAATCTTACCTCTTCACCAATCTGGTCAATTCCATAGCTGTACAGCTCACACACATATTGACGCCGGATCACATCCTCATTCACTTGGAGGTTCTGAGCCAGCTCTATAGCCATTGCCGCCCAGTTTTCATTTTGCTCTTGAGTAGATTGTTCAGAGGCACCATCGGTCTTTGGAGACTTTCCGAGTTCTTGCACTGCAGCTGTGACAATCTTCATTAGAAACTATAACGAAAGAAAGGTCCTTAAAACTATCGTCATGCTTATATAAACACACTCCACTTCATTGAAAATGTTTAGCTCAATAGAGCAGAGTTATTTGGCTTGTATTATTGGCAACTATGGTCTCAGCTTCCATTGTGCAGTTAATTGCGATCTAACACACTGTTACCAATCCAAAGTGATATAAGTCGGCCAATGTTTGGAAACACTTATTTCTTAAAATCAGTGCAACATTACTATCATTTCCCCAAGGCCCACACATTCTCAGGGTTTCAGCTTTAAAACCATTGCCTTAAAATTTAACATTTGGGAAAATTGGAAATCGGGAGAACAACTTCCGAATGCTCCACGATCTCAGATGTTAAGCCACTTATCGTAACACTACAACCATAAGAAATTTCCAGCCTCTGATTCAAAAGCTACATCATTTTAGGTAACTAGGTCTCAGATATATATCTATTAACACATACAACAGATTTCAGTATCAATACCAATCTCATTCTATTGCAAAAAGCCTTTGCAGTAAACTCGCTGTTTCTACAAAATGGAATTATTATGCTTGTGACATGTAACTTTCAGTTTCTAACACAAATCAAAATATTTGTCTAATCTTACTGGATCTTTACAACATATGAAACAAAAAGAAGTATTACTTGCAGAATTACACATTAACAGATGTAAATCGCAAAAGAATAGCCTTGATAAGCAACTCCTCTCCATACATTCATTACAGGGCAAAACGTTGGGCAAGTTTCCTTACTCCACATGCCTCTGTTTACCTAGAAGTAAGTAGGAACCCAATTGTTAGTCGATTGGTGGATTGCTTTTCCAGGGTAATAATCCCTTCAAAAATAAAAAAAAGATTTTGTCATTCAATCCACGACTGTTTGTCGGACACTGCTGTACAGAATGGGCTGCCGTGTTTCGTCCACAAAATGCAGTCACTTGAATTTGCAGTATATTCTGTGAAGCGCTTTGAGATGTCTCGCAAGTGCAAGGATTGTTACTATTATTATTACCTGTTGTCTGAAGGAGACAATGTTTGGGTCCATATCTCCACTTGGCAGCAACTGGATTGACACCAGGTCTTTGAAAAATGCAGTTTTGCCCTAGAAACACAAAACCTATTTTTATGTCTTGCCAAAGAGAGGGTAGCTTTGTCACCTTATAAACTGCCATTCACTTTGGAGTATTATAAAAAGAAGTTCAATAACTTCTATTTTGTTTTCCTCTTCAGGAGTGTGTCAATGGGTCAACTGAAAAGCTACTTCATTACTGTATCAACTTCAGTGTAAAAAGTAGATCCCAATGTTTGTATATTTTACTGTTTGCATATCAAAAGGAAGTGCAATAATGCGGCTTTGAGTAAACATCTTGGTAAGGCTTGGAAACATATCCACGAGAAACTGGATTAAAAGAACTTCAATGAAATTAATAATTTACAGCGTTGACATGCAACATTACCCATAAAAAGGCCATTGCTTCCATTTACTTGAGCCACTGATTGTAGCCATTTCTAAATATTAATGGCCATTTAGTAAAATGCTGAGGACATCATCACTATACTTTCAAACCACATACATATGCACTCACGGCCCATTCTACTATGTGACTGACTATTATACAGGATTAAACACAAGAATATTTGATTTAAGGCAAAGAGGAATATAAATATGTATAATTTGAAAACTATACACGTATGTTTTAAAAAAAAGAGATAACCCACATTGCAAGGCCTATTTAAACTCCTGTAGGAAAACACAAGTTTTAATCCTGCAAAATTAGATTGGGGCAAACTGAGAGACAAAAAGGTCGATCACATCTATATGGATCATTCTCGCAATAAATGTTTCTCTCTTCCGCCTCCTTCCTCCATATCTTACAGTTTTAATTTCATTCTCCATCTTCTGCACTGTAAAGTGTAATTTTTTAAACATGGAAATTAATAAAAATCCTTTACATTTTCAAGTTCAGAAATATTAGTAAATTCTTAATATAAAGCAACATAAGTGAAAGCATAATTTCTCTTTGCTGCAGCTTCATGAAATTCTGACAGTTTAACAAAGGCTCAGAATACTGAATACCAGGCATTTACTTAGCGGATATTAAAATGTTGTTCATCTGAATGAAGGTTTCAGTAATTAGTCTGGGATTTCAGATGCTATAAATATTATGCACCTTAATATGGTTTTGACTGGCCAACAATCCTATAAATCATTAACTTACTTACCAGCCATCAATAATTTTGGAAATGTGAACAGGTTTCTCATAAAATGTTCATGAAACAGTACAAATAGAAAAGAATGCAACCCCATTAGAAAATCAGTCAAAATATAATTCAAGCTTTGGGGCACCAGAAAATAACAGGAATCTAAAAAAAATCTGCTGATTTCATAGGTCAAGATATTTGAAACAGAAAAAAAAACAACTTTCTGTATTTTACACCGAAAAACAATATCAGTTATTTAGGATTCGTACCCTATTGTCAAATAGGCTGAAGAGTTTGACAGATTTCATCCCAAAAAGCATTATTGCATACATGATGACACACAGGATATAGTGGTGCTGAACCAAAGGATAATGGACATGTCTTTGCTCCAGAGCCAGATCCACTATTGAAGTTGGACCCTCCACAGATAACCAGGAGTCCTCAATGTCCAGACAAGGTTCCCTCATTTCATCTCTGCTCACTTCAGCCTGGTGGAACAAAGAAAATTCTGGGTTTTTTTTTTGAAAGGAGCTGTAAAACTCCACCATTTTCATCAGCTCTACCATTTCCAATCAGGTCACTTTCATGGATTGGAATCCAAAACATCAAAATCAATTACATTAATTTGAAGAGAATTGGAAAATACAAAGTGGACTAAGAATAAATAGCTCCAATGAGCTGGCAGTTATGATGAGACAATTGACTTGGGCTGAAAATGTTATGATTCTATGGTTGTGCTAAACTACATCAGTGTGAACCTATAAGGGAGTACCTTTACAAACTTAATTCAGGATGGGTGGGGGTTGAGTGAGGTGTAGGAAATAACAATGGGCAGGTAGGAGAGATATGATTAAGTAGGTAATTATGGGATCAGATTGGGTGGATTGAAGTTCATGATAGCTGTTGAAAGGCCAGGGAAAGAGCAGCTTGATAAGCAGTTTTCAATACTAATAAGTTTATGAACTCAAATAGGATGAAATTTCTTCAAATGCAGGAAATGTTTTACCTCCATTAGTGTTTGAATAAGCAGTGAGCAGGAGCCAAGGAAAGATGTCATAGCAGTGTCGCTCATTCCTACATCCTGTTCAGAAAAGGAAAAGAAACATCTCACAGAAAAATATTTAAAAGTATCCATCCTCAAGTGCTTCCAGCAAGGATAGTGTATCTCTTTGCTATTTTCTTTCTTTAAGTCCCCCTGAAATGTACACAACTCTCCAGCCAAAAGACTGGCCACATTGCCCACTTGCAAACGCTAACCTTAATGTTGGGCTGCATTTGTAGCCAAGCCTGAGAGAGCTTTTTACTCTCTGACTCAGACCTTCAATTAAAATAAAAGACGTAGAAATGTTTCAAACACTAAGATCAACATACATTCGCTCATTTGCTGAAGACTTTCACAAATACTTACTCGTCTACACAGCCTGTCCTTTGGAGCTTTACCAACCTATTTAAAGAAAACAAATGATTAGCCTGGATCAATTTTAATGCCGGTTTTCAATTACTGAAGCTTCAAATGACAGTAAAATTCAATAATGCCCGGGAAACCTGGCTAGGTTTTGAATATGATTGAATATTTTCTGCGTAGTTCAGTTTAATTAAAGTGTTTTTCAAATCTCAAGAGTTGCTCATCTTTGAAATTTGGTTACCTTGCATGAACACGCTTAGCTCCACAACATTCAGCAACATTAATACCATTTACTACACATATTCCCTGCTACTCCTACATGCTTTTCTTTCCACCCAATTACTGAGCTGTGGGCAGTGCTCTTGTGAACTGGAAAATATACTTAGCTGCTCATACTGCTAACTTTGTACAACAGCAGCACTCAAGCACTTCATATGACAGTCAAATCTTTATCCTCCTGCAACTTTGATATATTCCCTGGATTCATTCACAGCAGAATATAAAAAGGCCACTAGATGGCAATCCTTGAACACAGTGCAAACTGATAATGGCGGTGATTGATCGCTCACCAACCCATGAGACATTGTCAAATAGAACAATTCTTCTATCCAGTAAACATGAGAAAGAACAGAACATTTAACATTGTATCTCAAGAGGGTTAAGCTCAAGATTTTGTGGTCTTCAAATCTCTCTATGGTCTTATTGCACTACCTCCGAAATCTTGCCCAGACTTAAATTCCAGTCCATAACTTCCTCTCGTTCAACATGGTTCTATTGCTGGCTTCCCACCGATCATTCTACAACAACTTGCATTTATATAGCAACATCAGGTAGCATCTCAGAGCGTTTAGTGGTACTACCATCGAGAACCAATCCTTCAGTCAAAAGGCAAAATGATTCTTCAGTCAAGTTGTTCCTGTTCTCTGAACTCTCATCCAGCCTTCAAAAATTTCCTGGAAGATGATTATTTCACTGTTTGAGTTTATCACTATATTTGTCAAGTATTTAAAGACAACATACAACAATAACAAGATTGCATTTATAGAGCGCCTTTCACGTCGGGAGGACGTCCCAAGGTGCTGGACATAAATGCAAGCTCCTGATCAGTTGCAGTTTCTCACAACTTCTCTTTCTCCACTTCAGATTGAATAATGAACATGAGAGAAACAGAAATGCTGCACCAGTTAAATCCTGTACTTTTACCTTATCCATTAGGTAAGCAGCTGCCGACAGCCTCTTTACTATAAAGGTGTTCCACATCATTACAGAAATACCTACAAGGAGAGGGAAGAACTGAGCTTTTAATGAATTAAAATAAAAGAAATATTTCAGGGAAGATTCACAAAAACAGAACTTTTGTGAAGCTTACCCTGGTATCTAATAGTATGATGAACAATACCACTTCCCACTTATCCTCCACCTTGGGACATCCTCCCAACAAGAAAGGGACTGTAAAATTACATATTTGTATTGTTTGTTCAATCCATCCCAGCATACAAAACAATTACTGCTAGGTCACAAGCCGGATTTGAGCTTAATAGCATCACGGACATCCGGCACAGACACAGGCATTCTTCTGTGCTGTATAAGTCTATGATCACGCCTGAAAGATTTAAAATTACAATTAGCAAATAGAAATTTCAAAAAAATGTGGAAAAATAGAAAAGGGGAAAATGGTGATAATAGAGCAAGCACAGGTTAAGTTGAAAGAAGTTATGTATTATAGTTGGGTTAGTTATTACAGTAATAAAGTTTCCTGATGCGTGTGTCTTTATTACTGCAATTAGTGTTTTTCATGCTAAGCCTGTTGAAAGTCTAAAGGAAAGGCTCAGCCCTCAGTTTAACATTTAAACTCACAGTGTACATAAAATTTAATCTCAGTCATCAAAAGACTCCCAAACAATACTAACCATGCTGAATGTGGGCATTTCCTATGTACTTCAGGTGGTCCACAGATCTGCTCAAGAAACTGCCTTCCTATGAGTCAAAACACAAAGCGGTTATTGAGACAAACACCACCATCAACAACAAATTACATGTGTATAGCACCTTTTTGACATTCCACATTAAAAAGGAGTGCAAGATCAATGTGAAACTTTCTACAAATGGTACATACAGATTTACATGTTACTACTGACTAAAATGTACCACGACCTTGCAAGATTAAAACCTGTAAAGTGATAATCACACACCTATACTGTTTAATAAAAATGCAGTTAGTGCTGCTTAAATACTGTGCCCATTTATAATTTGCATACACTCACATTATCCTTTCATGGGTCAAACTGCTTTCTTTGTGGCATATTTACTTTAAATTCATCATGAAAGTCACATTTTTTTCACATTGAGAAATTACTTCCTTTCTCTTTCCACACCTTTGAACCTGTCACTTCCTCCTCTATCACCACCACCATATCCTCCATGAAGCCCACCACCTGCTACCTGGACCCCATCCCTACCCCCCTCCTTAAATCCCAGCTCCACCTCCTTGCCCCACTACTCGCCGACATCATCAACCCCTCCCTGTCATCTGGCACTGTTCCTACCAGAGCCACTATCACCCCCACCTTGAACAAACCTTCCCTTGACCTATCATAGCTATCTAGCTACCGGCCCATCTCCAAACTCCCTTTTCTGTCCAAGGTCCTTGAGAGAGCCGTTGCCTCCCAGCTTCACTCTTTTCTCTCCTCTCATTCCCTCCATGAACCTCTCCAACCAGGTTTCTGTGCTGCCTACAGCACGGAAACTGCTCTGGTCAATGCATTCGTCACATCAAGGCTCAATTATGGAAACTCATTCCTCATCGGCCTTCCCAACTCTTCCCTACCAACCTGCCCGCTCACTCCGTTCAGCGGGCTCTGCCCTGCTCTATGTCTCCCGCCCTACCATCGGTGGCCGAGCTTTCAGCCTCTCTGCCTCCACACTCTGGAACTCCATTCCACAGTCCCTTCACCTCGCTTCCTCCCTTGCCTCTTTCAAGGCTGGTCTCAAGGCCCTATTCTTCGATCGTGCTTTTGGTCACCCTCCCACCTCTCTGCCTTCCCTCACCCCTCCCCCATGCTCGGATCCTGACCCCTGACTGTCCAGCGCCTTGGGACGACCTTCCGGCATAAAAGGCACTCTATACATGTAATTTTGTTGTTGTTATTTAAAATCGAGCTTATGAAGTAACATTGGTGCTGGAGAACAGAATAGCTTTATTTTCTTACTAACATGATGCTGGGATTAGTTTTACCCTTACCCAAATGTCAGCACAATGAAATCTGACAGACTACAGAATTTAAGAGCTGTCTATGCTTATTATAACATTAACCCAATTAGACCACCCCACCATCATCAGCTGAGATGTTCTAGATTTTATATATATATATATTTAGTTTTACCTCTGGATCTTTGTTCCATTGCACCACATACTCCCAGCAACAATGAGCATGAAGAACATCAGACTCCAGACTGCAGGGATATCGTTCATACACCAAATGAAGCAACTCTAAAACAAGCACAAACAAGCGAATGTAATGATTGTGTCCCTTAAATCCAAAATCTATAAATAAAATCTGCAACAGCTATTTTAATCCTGAAAATTGCAAATTAGAATTAATGGAACATTCATATAAAATCATGGACCTTCTTCCTACGATCACAGTATGGTATGAAGTTTTATATTTTATTATAATTTTTTAAAAAAGAGTAAACTTTGAAACACAGGCATGTTGTAACTTGGGAGTATAGTATCAGGAGGGTGGGATTGGCCCATTAGCATTGAAATGATAAATTCTCCATTTTAATTGAACTATTTTGAAGCTCTTTGAGATATCTCAACGAATGGCTATATCAAATGCAATGATTATTTTTTCATGGAAACAGTCAAGATGCATTCCATAAAATATTTCTAAAACACTGGAAGAAAATACACTTTTGCCTCCTTGTGGTTGGTTACAATCCTAATGTGGAGCACAAACACCAGCACAGACTAGTTGGGCCGAATAATCTGGTGTTGGTGTTGTGCTATCTACGCAATTCAATATAGGGAGCAGTTACAGTGTCTTGCGGAGCAGGTTTGCTGCCTGCCTGCTGTGTTTTTGAGTGCACTGGATAATGGAGACAAGGAGTCGTTAAATCAATAGACATTGTTGCAGCACAATACAAACATATGCATTCAATTTGCATTAAATTGCATTAAAAAGTAAACTGTATTCAAAATGGGTCACATAATATCCACTAACTGTAGCTTATGTATAACCCGAACAAAACACATGAATTACTTCAGACTATTCACTTATAGAAAGTCTGGAAACAAATAAACAATGTTGATGCCAGACCAGGGAGAAATAAAGAGACAAACTTTCCCCTAGACATTTTTTTTTCCTAATTGACTGCAATCACACATTTGACAACAAAAATACACCACAGTCACTACAATTTACAGTATATTCTGTGAAGCTCTTTGAGACATGCTCCCGACTTTAAAGGCATTATACCAAATGTATGGAATTATTACTATCGTCAGTCATGTGCGTGAATAAGATTGAATATTCTTGTGCATAGTTAGTACATGTACCCAGTGCCACCTGCTGACAGAAAACAATATCACAAGAAAATATTTACCAGTGTTTTGCACTTCATAGTTACTAATACATGGACAACAGTACTGCACAAGATCAAATCGGCTGAATTGTTGGGGCAAATCCATTATTAAATAACTCTCTTCAACATACCTTTAAGGCTTTAGCTTGCAAGGTTAACATGCACTGTGTTAACCTGCCCCAATGAATGGTCTGCCCCTCCAAGTCACATCAACAAACCTGTCTGGTCTGTCATCAGTAGTACCTGGAACCAGCTGTGCTCATGAACCAAGACTGCCAAAGATAGTCAAATCAATTCAATATCCTATTGTCAACCAGGACATATTGGAACCAGCTCAGTCCCAAGGATACTCCAATTACCTCCACCTCCTACTCCAAGGAGAGTCACAAATGGTTCTTTCAAAACCACAAGTTTAATGTACAGAATTATGAATGGTAATCAAACCAATTTGTACAAAATGTAATACCAATTACCTGACGAAATTTCATGTGCTGGCACACATACCTACTATCCTTTCCAGGCCTAACTCTTTGTATTTCTCATTCATAAAAATATTGTTGTCCACTTCTATGGATTCCTCTGTATTTTCGGATTTCTTGGATAGCTGAGCTTGTCTCAGAATGCAGGGAGCGAGGTCCAACTTAAAAACCCATTTTGCCACACCATCAGCAACAACTCCTGGGAAAGATGCACGGACATAATAATAAATTAACAGCATATCACAAATCGATAGGTATCCACCCGTTCATTAAATACAAAAGTGTGTCTGAAAAACACACTTTAAAACTTATTTGAAAACTAAATGAACTACAGTCAAACCTACCTTCAACAACCACTCAGAGGACTGGGTCAAAGTGGCCTTTCTATAAGGGTGACCTCTGTGAGTAAGGGTTTGTTGGTGTGAGAACACACACTGAAGTAGCTGTTTCAGAGTGGTTGAGGAATGGAGGTGGTTGCTTAAACAAGTTTGAATGCATATTACAATGCAAACTTCACACTGGATAGAGTAAAACTGTGCAGTTTCCAATTGCCAGCAGTGGAAGTTTTCTGCTGCTTGCCCACCCTACCAGTAGGAGCTTTGGCTTGTAAGGTTATCGGGTGCCAAGAGGAAAGAATCCAAACTTCCCCTGACTTGTTTCCTCTTTCAAGTACAACTAACCAACCAGGATGGCGAGTCCATCATTCACAGAGCGTTGGAGAACTGCTGACAAACTGAACTAATGAGACTGCCACAGAAAATCGAGGCAATTCCAATTGGTTGCCAGTAATTTCACCTTGGAGCTAACCCAGTCCCAAAGAGACTAAGCTTAACGAGTTCTGAATATTGTAAATTATATGAAATAGAAAATAACATTTGTATTATAAAAAGCAGGTCCTAAATAAGAGATTTTAAAAAAACTGCAAATTCTGGCATATAAATGTCTACTTATGCTTCTTCAACTTTAACATTTTACCTCGACCCCCTTCCAGAAGTTTCTTGACAGAAAGCCGGGTAAGTGGCTCCAAGTGTTGGTGTGTGGAGCTCAGCAGCTTATTCACTTTGCTGTGGAGGAGGGTTTGTAGCACCAGGCAATCCTCAAGCTGCCTGAGCAATAGGTTCCAATGTTCCAAGTCAAGAGACAACGCTTCCCAGGAATCAGTCATTCCATCCGAACACAAAAGCGTCATCTGTTGGGAACTCTACAAGAGAGAAATGTCATCCAAGTAAAAAAATATAAAAAGTATCTGAAACAAAAAGTGGGGATTAATTAACTGGCCCCCAAGAAAACCATTAAAACGTTAACCTCATTCCAACCTAAATAATTTCAAATTTTGCAGCTCTTTAGCGATGCACTCAGAATGGTTCAACAAGACCTCTAATTTGTATGTGGAAATACAGGATACAGCAAAGATAATAATTCCTACTTTAGAACTGCTGTTACTTCAAAATATGTTCCTGAAAAACTGCAGATTTGTCTGGGATTATCGATTTCAAAGCAATTATACATTTTATTTGCATCAACCAAAGATGTGAAAGAGCAGGAATTTTTAAAAAAATATACACAGGAAAAAGGCCATTGTGATTTGATTTCTGCTCCATTTCCCAACAGATCTGTCAAATCCATTTTATCCAGAAACCCGTTTAGTTGCCTATTCAACTCACTAATGCCTCTCAGGCAACTTTTACAAATAACAGTTCCACTCACATCTCTCTCCGTCAGGCCATTTGTTGCACTGATAGCTATACTCCTGCCGACAAGTGCGGCTAACAATGCAGCACCGTTATTCTCTGCCTGTGCACATACAGTGCGCATCTGCTGCCACCATGGAGATACCGACTGAAGGTCCCACGCGACATCAACGGCCCCTGGAGAAAGACAAGTTTTTCACAAGAAAAATTGTGGACGAGAAAGATTTAGATACACTGGACAGCACAGAAACAGACCAGTTACCTCAACTAGTCTGTGCTGGCATTAATACTCCATATAATAATAATCCTCGCATTTGATATAGCGCTTTTCAGCTCGGGAGGAGGTCCCAAAGCGCTTCACAGAACACACTGTAAAGTGAATTGACTGTGTATTTGTGGGCGAACCCGGCAGCCAATTGCGCACAGCAACGTCCCACAAACAGTCGTAGATTGAAAATGAACAATTTATTATTGTTTTGGGGTTTTGGAGGGATTATTATTAGGTGTGTGGAGTAAGGAAACTTGCCCAAGGTTTCGCCCTCTGCCTGGAATTGAACTCAGGTCTCTCGCTTGCAAAGCGAGTGCTCTAACCACTGAGCTACAGGACTCCTCTATCCCTCCTATCAATCAAAATCAAGATGGATTTCATTCTGCAGTTATTGATGCAAAAATCATTGCTGATGAGTGACAAAGAATTTTATATCAGTACAGCTGCCTACATAAATTTGATACTGTAGTTCTACAGAAGTCCCTTAGAATGAATATACAACTTCATGACTTCTTTATGCATCGTAGTACAAAAATAGAAAGTTTTTTTAGACACAACTGTTTATTCTAGGTGCAGTACAGCGTGAAATGGCTCCACTGGTTATCTCATTGCTGTAAAGCAAGCAGTAAGTGCTTGGCTGAGAACAAGAATTTTGAATGCTGGACAGTAAATGAAAGATCGCACTTGTCTCGATTGCAAAGAAAACAATTTGTAAACATTGCCAAAGAGCATGTAATGGTTCCAAGTCTGACTTCACCCAGCACTATAATGTCAGGAAAAATAGCCAGTCAGAACAATTTTGTTGATCCCCTCTATAACCATGAGTAGTTTGATGTCTCTGTTCCCAAGGAGGACAAGACTGGTCATCTTAACCTTCCCTCATAATTCCTAATACACTTAAATACACTAATAAACTTAAACCCCGCTAGTTAGACTAATGGGGTGGGGGTGGGTGGGGAGGCGAGATCTGTTCCAGTGAGCTGGACTTTTCAGCTAAATATAATTTCAATGCTGGTACCAGCATTTTTCAGCAATGGGATTCTTCTGCGCAAATAAGCAGAAGATATCTGCTCGCTGGATTCAAACAATCTGAGTCAAAGTCGATATCCCTGGCAATTGTGAAGGCTAGCAAGGACAGTCAGGCACTAAAACAAATCACGTGGGCTGCTCGGAGTGGCAGAAATCATTTTACAACAACTTTTTACTAGTTTTATCATTTCATTTGACATAATTTTAATGTCAGAGGATCAACATAGTTGTTCTGACTGGCTCTTTTCTCCTCAACATTAAAATAATTTTACTCATTTTCTCTTTTCTCTCACATTAAATAATTTTATTCACTTTTTCTCATTTATTCTCTCAAGAATACAATCATCCTTTCTATTTTACTAGATCTACATATTCCGAATGTTGTCAATTAATGACTTATACAGCTACAAGATAACCGTGTGATTTGTACTCTCACCCTCTCTCCCTTTCCGTTGCAACTTTAAACATAAGACTAGGTCAAAACTTTTGATTTCTTTTTAATTTCCTTAGTATTGCAGAAAATAATGCAAAATATATTGCAAATTATATTGGAATAGTCATCCGCAAAAAAAAAACTCTCACCTTTCATCCTGCTTAAGAGAGACAGAGTTGTACAGAGATAACTGATGGACTGTTGCTTATTGAGGATTTCTTTCTCCCTAGAGAACCACACACTGAGAAACAGAGACTGGACACAGAACAAGGAGAGAGAGAGAAAACAAAGCATTAGTAACTTACCCAGCACTTGCCAATGGGCCCTCACTAATGCATCAGAAAGGTAAATTAAACCTACAAAATGCTTTTTGAGCACTGCAGTTTTTGCAATGCCAAAGTACAATAAATCTAATTTTACACCAATTTACTTTATAAATTGTTATTTAAATTACATTTGTTTTAGTTTAGCATCACAAACACTGAAGTACTCGAATGCATTTTGAAGATTTAATAGGTTGTTGTTGATTTATTTGGTTTGTAAGCTTGCATGTTTAAATGCATTATAGCTGCATAAATTCGTGACAATTAAAATATTCCTGCCCCATAAGCACAGATTAACAAAGTCACTGCATCCAACAGTAAGAGGATTTTTTTTAAAAAACTTGTACCAGTTCTAACAAAGCATTTGGACTGCCTGATTAACTTTACGAGATCAAATGGGCAGACTCCTTGATCATCTGTTTCTCTCTTACAATATTGTGAACGTTTTAGGACAAAAAGTCCTAAACATACAAAACCACAACAAGTCTCGCTGGCTTTTAAAAGAACTGTAATCAAGTCAAATTAATTCCATGCATCACAGCCCCAAGCAAGTAACTGAATCTTACCAATAATTGTTGAGGTTTCATTCCTGCTGACTCGAATATAGGACATGTTTCCTCTGCAGAGCTTTCCCCACACATGCACTTCCAGAAAAGAAAGCTGCCTGTAACAGAAGAAGAAGAAAACATTAACAGTCACGGCATTACAGCACTTTGCATTACCAGGTCAATCAACTGATGAAATCCAGGTGAATAAATAAATGGGCAAATAATCAATCTCCAGACGCCCCTCAGAGACTTCAACACCAAATTACTTTTCACATAATAATCCCAATTAATCTAGTACAACCCAGTGAACTTTCAACTGGGCAATTGTATGTGCTATGAAAGGTAGATTGACACGGTTCTGTTCACCTAGCAGTAAGTAGGAACCCAGTAATCAGTCGACTGATGGATTGCTTGTCTGGGGGTAATCTCTTCAAAAATAAATTCAAAAAATTCAAAATTTGGTCATTTAATCCAGAACTGTTTGTGAGACACTGCTGTGTGCAATTGGCTGCCGCGTTTTGCCCACAAAATATACAGTCAATTCACTTTAAAGTATATTCTGTGAAGTGCTTTGAGACTCTCAAAGACGTGATAAGGTGCAATGTCAAATGCAAGGATTATTGTATAACTTCTGTACCATATTTCTAATTTACAATTAGTTTTGTACTGTATTACAGGGACTAATTTATGCAGTTGTATCTAACATGCAAGCAAATAAAATCTAACTACATTTCCCTTTTTTAAAAAATAATAAAGCCCAAGAACGTTGTGGTTATTATTGGGATGATCCTCTTCATCCTTCACAAATGACATTTTCTTCTGATTTTGCTCGTAATGTAATGCAACAAGGTTTGTCCCCTATTAGATCCCACAGAATAGGTCATACTTAAGTTTACAAGAGGCAGACAGATAACCTGGTCCAGTCAGCAGGCAATACGGTTCTTCATTTCACTTGTCAAGCGAAGGCTTTTCAATCATTCTAACCTTAACCAAAAAGATTAATTTTACGTAACTCAATTTGGTGTCAAAGATTTAGCTTGTAGTTTTGAGAACTAGTATGCAGTTCTCCAGGACCATTCTACATTAAGTGAATACTGTCGTCTAGAGAAAATGTGCAGATTTTAGAAGCTACCGAAGAACTTCAGATAAATTTGCATCTACATTAGCAAACAGTCTATCAAAACCATTCAAAGAGTTTGAACATGTGATTTTTGAAATGTTGCATTTCTGTACAAATGAAAAAATATCCACATCCATATTTACTATAATTTGCGTACAAATGCCTACCCAAAGCCACACATTCATCTTCACCCAATTTCTTTACATTAACCACATCATTTTCATATTCAAGATATTCCAGGAATTTGTGGACTGGTAGCTTGCAGCTTTTGTCTTCCTCAAACTGGACTGTAGCCCTGGTGTTCTCCTGTCTGTAATTATCCAGGAGTAATTGAATTCGAGCAGCTTCTTTTTCCTCCAGCCTTAACAAAGTAGCCAGCTCCTGCACAACAAACAAAGAATTAACATTTTTCATCTCTTGTAGTGTGGTTGATATCTGGTGCATCGATATCTGGCACAAGTTCCTCCACGGTTAAGTGCTCAGAGACGCTGCCCCCTATATAAACAACAACATATTGCATTTATGCAGCACCATTCACATTGGGAGGATGTCCCAAGGCATTATATAAATGCAAGTTGTTGTTGGTGTCAGTGAAAATGTCATCTGGGAGCCATGAGTATTTTTGTACTCCACGTCACACATCTATGTTTGTTTAATAAACTGCAAACCTTGGGGCACCGGACCGTAACACCAGCTTTTATAATTCTAGGGCAATATAAAAGTCTGCGCATTATGCTAAAGTGTGCACAAAATGAATGGATGTGACAGGAACAAGCATTGAAAGGAAAATGGGCACATTTTATCATTACAGAGTCACCATCAGAATCTATTTTTAAAGACCATGATTTGGAAAGCTTATAAACATGAACTACTAAAAACATTTTAAGCTACGCAAGCTGAACTCTGTAAAATGGTTTTGAAAATTAATGAGCTGACACCGCTTAAGCACTTTGAATGGTGCTATATAAGCAGTACTAACAACAACAACATTACATTTGTAAAGCGCCTTTCAAGTCGGTAGGACCCGAGTATGGGGGGCAGGGTTGGGATGAGGGAGGGCAGACAGTAAGAGGGCGGCTGAAGGCACTGTGAAAACGGAGGGTCTTGAGTCGTGTCTTGAAGGAGGCAATGGAGGGGAATGAGAGGAATGAGCGAAGCTGGGAAGCAACAACTCTTTCAAGGACCTTGGAAAGAAAAGGGAGGTTGGAGATGGGCCAGTAGTTAGAAAATGACTCACAATATTGGTGCTGTTGGGCTCCTGATGTAGATCCTGAGAGTTGAGTTTGTTGACACTTGTATAAAGCTGAAGAAGTTTTAACTGGCTGACACACAGCTGTAATAATCCTTCATCCACACTTTCAGGATCTAAATAAGAGATAATGAGAAAATATTACAACAAGATTCCTAACTCGCGCCCTCGCCTTAGCCTCCTTCAAGTCCCGCCTCAAGATCCTCCTCTTCGATCATGCCATCGGCCACCCACCTTCCCATCCCCTCCCTCCGCCCCCAGCTCGGGTCTGAAATGCTGTACACTGTCCAGGGCCTTGGGACGTCCTCCTGATGTGAAAGGCGCTATACAAATGTAATCTTATTGTTGTTGTTGTAAGAAAATATTACATGGAAATATGGAAAGAAAATAGCTGCTGCTTTGCATATCAGCGTGGCACAGTTGGTAGTATTCTTGTCTTGAAGTCAGAAGGTTGTGGGTTCAAATCCCACATCAGGGGATACTCCAACCTGCACTGTCAGAGGTGCCGTCCTTCAGATGCGAGTTAAACAGAGGTCCTGTCTGCCTGTTCAGTGGTTGTTAAAGATTCCATTGCACTACTCGAATAGAGGCTTGCAAAGTGCATTTTGTAACTCGACAATATATTGAATAATAATAATAATCCCTGCATTTGAAATAGCACCTTGTCACTTCTTGAAGACGTCTCAAAGTTATTTGTAGGTTACAGAGGCGACTCTTCACACAGAAATTTTTTCACACAGACTGTTGTGAAATTGTGGAATGCACTGCCCCCAAAAGGTCAGAGGCAGAATATGTTGAGCTGAAGAGATGGGAAGTAAGGGATATGGAGAAAAAACAATTTAAAGAGTCTTTGGCATCATCTAATAAAACAGACTCGACAGGCATCCTCTTGTTCCTATCTATGCCAATAGTTTCACATCCTCAATCTTACTGCAATGTGAAGAGGGTGGAAGACAGAAGGAAAATTCAAAATCCTATCCTATTTACTCACCCTGATTCTTTATGCTGTCAAGTAATGCCTGGATTAGATGAGTTAGGCTGGAGAGTGGAATGTTCTTACTCATCAGCATTCGTTCCAAGGCCTGCAGGCACAAAAATAAAAAGAATTTTAAAAACAAAGGTATAAATGACAAGAGATAAAATAGCTCAAATAAGCAATTTGACAAAACCATTAGGTTAAGTTACCTGTTTTTTCATAGCAGGATACTTAATATCAAGCAGATGTGTCTTTATTTCAGTTTCTAAACTTTCTGAAATACAAATGGAATTGGTAACACAGAGCAATGGGGATTATAAAAATGGGAGAACCATGACCGACAATTACAGGTGCGTATAGTACCAAAGATCTGAGCTAAAAAGCAGTCTTAGAAGCATAGAATTTTACAGAAGGAGGCCATTCAGATCATCTTAGCTGCTATTTTCATACAAAATACTTGGAGCAATGAAGGTGCCCACAGATGGAAGCAGATTCGATAATAGCTTTCAAAAGGGAATTGGAAAGGTACTTAAAAAGGACACATTTGCAGGGCTATGGGATAAGAGCAGGGGAGTGGGACTAGTTGGTAGCTCTTTCAAAGAGCTGGCATAGGCCCGATGGGCCGAATGGCCTCCTTCTGTACTGTAAGATTTTATGATTCTATGATAATGACAATTGTATCAATGCTAACTTTTCTGGGATTTTGCCAGTAACATCAGCTTGTTGAGGTTTACAGCAAGTCATGAATGTTTTCTTAAATTTCTCTCAACAGTGTGGCTATAAACAATTAGATCTTCCCCACAGAGCTTGAATATATCTCTCTGGTTCGAATTCTAGTCCATGTTGTTTGCTGGTTTCAGCTAGGCCTCCATGGGGAGGCTCCGGGACGTTACCCTGTGTGAAGGGCTCTATATAAATGCAAGTTGTTGTTGGGGCTAAATAGCGCCAGCCAGCCCAAAGTTAGGGAGGGAGAGAACAAGTGAGGGTTCCTGCTACTGCTAAGTATGCTGGAAGCCATGTGGGGAGAGGCCAGGATCAACTGCAATTCTCTCAACAATCAAGCAGCCTGCTGACACTCGTGCCAAGATCCCACATGACCAATAGTGATTTGGGTGGATTATTGGAGGGCAACCAGCACCCATGGAACCACACCACAGATAAATCACTCAATATGACAAATGGTTCAAATACTAGGGAACATGGTTTCAGCATTTCAAGATGCTATCCCACATGAAGGGCGCTTATATAAATTTACGTTGTTGCCATTGTGGGCTGATATGCCAATATGCTGCCATGCTTGGGAGTACTGCATGTCAGAAGTGTGGATGGGACATTAAATTGAGCACCAGTCAGTAAACTTTAAGTTCAAGTTAAGAAGGAAGGATTTGTTGCGTAAATTGCCTTTTCCCAGTTTCTAAAACAATGTGTTTTCAATCGTTCCTCATTGTCATCGATTGGCTTTTAGCCAATCTTTGTTTTCTTGGAACATCAAATGTTTCAGAGAACAAATCATTAACAATACGTTTGGGGCTTTGGGTTGCCAAGTGTAAAACATGGAAGACGATTAATGCAGTAATGGAAATTAGTTTCCTATGCCAGAATGGATCATGTTAAACTAAGTCATCCAGAAATGTACTCCTGATCATATTTAATTTTTGTCAGAGGCAGCAATCTGAGGAGTGCTGTGGTTCAAGTTCTCTACAGAAGACATTTTTAGCTCAATGATTTCTTGTCACCATTTGCTAATCGTCAAAATGTTCTTCCTGCTCAAGAGAAAATCTTGCTGGATTAAGAACAAATTTCAAAAACAAAAAGAAAACCTATACATTAGTATAAAGAACACACCTCAGTATTCCTTAGCAAACTTAGTGAAGGAGAGGAAGAATTTAAGAACAATTTCAAGAATTGAATATTTCACACTACCAATGTCACATGATTTTGATAAATTAAGCAACATTCTAATATTCTAACACGTAGCAAAACAAAAAATTTTTCATGTGGAAAAGCCAGTAGTAGAATCCATTCTTTGTGTCAGGGATGGTGAAAGGTGAAGAAAGAAGGAAAGATTTCTGCAAAATTATAGTTGTTCATGAAACTAGCTATTCTTACAGAAATATGTAATAGGAAGATACTAACAGCAGCAAAATACTTCTCATCCCTTAAGTTTTCAAGATGTGTGTGTAAGGAGATAGTTGTTAAAATTATTGTTTGATACACCAAAGTATATAAAATAACTGGGAGAAAACTACTTTTTTTTAAAAAAAGTTCCGGAAGCTCTGGAAAAGCTTCAGACAAGATTCATTAAGTCCTAAATGAGGTGTGTTTATTCAATACCCAACGGTAGTGACATACATTCTACAGTGTAATCAATTAACTTTGACCAGTTCAGTAATATGCAGAACAAACATTATCCACGGCTTGGTTACCTACACCACATTCAAACAATACCTTAGAAAACATTCAATTTGAAGCTGTGCTCCACATTTCATGCTGATATAGCTTTCAGTCACGGGTACTATCATCAAAGACCACTGCCAACTAACCAAATTTAGATACACTAAGTCTTACATATTGCAGGCAAACAAGAAAACTTTACCAGGGTTAGCGACTTTGGCTTTCAACAAAGCAGTTAACCGTTTCAGGAGATGCATATCCTTTGCTCTTTCACTCTTCTTATCGCTGAAAAACATAGGAAAGGAGCATGGGGAGAGGTGAGGGAAGAATAGAAAATATTTTTTCTCAGTTCAAAAAATAAAATGACCACACATTAAAGTATTACAAAAGCTGATACATAGAGATCTTTTTTGCAAAATACACATCAGTGGTATAGAATGACCAAGACCAGTACTGCACACAATCTACAATTTCAGGAACTTTTCCAGCAAATCAATTCTCACCACCTCGTGAGCAATGCCTGAGTATTGTTTGCAAAATGTTTCATGCTATCAGGTTATTCCAATTCTTAAAAAAAAAGAACAAGGATAACTTAGGATATCTAAACTGGCTTAACTGCAATGGAAGCTTCACTACTGCAGCCATAAACCCTTTAAGATTGAAGCAGTATTTCAGAACAAAGTGAGCTTTCTGATAGGGGAAATGTTTCTTCAAACTATTAAAAGTTGTGGTTTTCCCTCTCCGACCTTCCCATCAATGGAAAATCTGCTCCCTGATTATTTTTTTTCAAGTGTAAATGCGAAAACTGTTATTTTTTTTAAAAAGCCAGTGGTTCTTACATACTGGAAAAGCTATTGTCTTCAGACAGGATTCAAGCTGAATGTTTTCTCCCTGCTGACAATACAGTGACCCATGTTTGTGGTCCATTCCTTTGATCATTTTCAAATGTCCCACTGTAGTCTGGCCTGGTAATTCACTGGAGAAAACTATATTGATGCAGTACAGTATGTCTTCTGAGATTGCAATGATGTAAAAGGGCTTTTACTTTTATTCTGGCTCATTCCGCCTCTGATGTGGGAATGGGGAAGTGGTTAAGTAGAAAAATGCTAAATTTCTAACATACCTTAAGCTGAACATGGAATTGTATTAAATCATAAATAAAAATTTTTTAAAAAGCTGCAGGGCATGGCTGGAATCATATCATGTCCATAATGTGATTGACATTGGAAAGGAAGAGCCATAAAGCTTTGAAATTGGCTTCCAACTAGTTCTAGCCCTGCAGTAAGAAGGGTCATTTTTCTTCATTCACTTATCCACCAGCCAGACTGCCCATGACATACCCTGATGGAATGCAGTTTATTGCTAGAGTCCTGGTTCACCTATTTGAGTGTCCTTGATGATGCTGGTCTTAGGAGAGAAAAGATTCTAAAGAGAGAAACTATTTCAAGTTCCCAGCATTTTTATCCTTCCATGTGTACAATATGTACCTATTCTTCAATACCCCCAAAACTCCCGAAATAAGCTAGAAAGGGGGAAAAAGTACCTAAGAGCAAGATGGAAAGGAACATTGATGGTCTTCACGTTACCATTTACTGGATCGATCAAACAGATCTGATAGGTTTGTGGTTGCCAACCTTGACTGGTTACATTGTTCAATCCCATTATCTTGTATCCAGGATACAATAACCTAAGAAAATCACATTTGCAACACAATCAGATGTACCACCTCTTTCAAAATGCACAATAAAAATGAAGTTACATAATAAAAATGATTACATAAATACTCTTCCCATAATGCATGTCAATTTATCTGAGCCTGGCTCAGTGGTAGCATTCTCGCCTCAGAGTCGGAAGGTTGTGGATTCAACCCCCATGTCGGGACTTGGAATGACATAGCCTAAGCTGAACTCCAATGCAATGCTGGGGGAGTGTTGCATTGTCGGAGGTGCTGTCCTTCAGATGAGACGTTAAACCGAGGTCCCTTCTGCCTGTTCAGGTGGACGTTAAGGGTCCCAGGGCACTATTCGAACAGAGAAGGGAATTTCCCTGTCTAACAATCCCCCAAATACAATTGATCATTCATTCCAAGGCTGTTTGTGGGTGCATTGATGTTTGCGACTGGTTGCCACATTTTACCCATAAAATACACATTCAATCTACTTGAATCCACAATACATACGTGATAAGGCACTATATCAAATGCGAGGATTATTATTATTAGACATTTCTATCTGAGGTATTGCAATTTTAATAAAAGAAAATTGAAGGACAAGACTACTTGAATTCTCTCTCCAATTCTATGGATGTCCATTACTTCAGAGAAGTAGCGTCAGTGAGGACATATAGCCAGTGTACCAACCAATATGTGCTCAACTGACCACCTGGAAGATCTGTTCCCTATGCTATCACTACCTATGGGAAACTCTTGATCCCAAGGCACTTTTCAATTAAAGGCACTATATCAAATGCAAGGATGATTATTAATCAGCAACGTTAACTAACTTTCTCATTTAACACAAGAGTGTTAGGTTGCGTGGTGGAGGTTGCGTGGTGGTGGGAAGAAACCACATTTCAGGGAGGAATACCTTTAACAAACTACCATCAGGAAGCTTGTAGGATTACTCAGTTTGTCCCAGCAGCACAGACTGAAATAAACAATTATTTTTTATACTTCCCCAAGACATCCTTACGTATAATTGAGACCAACGATCAGTTCAAGAAATGCATTCAGAAAGGAAGTGAACAGAAGAACCATTGTCTCAAAGGGTGTATAAACAGCACATTGACAGCTTCACAAGATGACACAACAACAAGATTACATTTGTATAGCGTCTTTCACGTCGGAAGGACAGTGTACAGCATTTCAGACCTGAGCTGGAGTCAGCGGGGAGAAGGGAGGGGAGGGGAAGGGGGGTGACCAATGGCATGGTCGAAGAGGAGGGTTTTGAGGCAGGACTTGAAGGAGGCTAAGGAGGGGGCGAAGCGGAGTGATTGGGGAATGGAGTTGCAGAGGTTGGGGGCAGAGTGGCTGAAGGCTCTACCAACAATGGTGGGGCGATGGGTCGGGGGAAATGGAGCAGACCGGAGCCAGCTGAGCGGAGGGAGCGGGCAGGTTGGTAGGGGGTTAGGAGGTCATGGAGGTAGGGTGGGGCGAGGCCATTGAGGGCTTTGTAGGTGAGGACCAGGATTTTCAACTGGATCCTCTGAAGGATAGGGAGCCAATGGAGTCGGGCGAGAGTAGGGGAGATGGGGTCACGGAGTTTGGTGCGGGAGAGGACACGGGCTGCAGAGTTCTGCATTATCTGCAGTCTGTGGATGGAGGAGTTGGGAAGGCCGACAAGCAGGGCGTTTGCATAGTCGAGCCTGGAGGTGATGAAGACATGAACAAGAGTTTCAGCGGCCTGAGGGGTGAGATAGTGGCGGAGTCGGGCGATGTTACGGAGGTTAGGGAAGGCAGAGCAGGTCATCGCTTGGATGTGGGGAAGAAAAGACAGTTGAGGGTCGAACAAGACACCTAGGCTCCTGACTGGCTTGGTGAGTTGAAGTGTGCAACCATGGAGGTTGACGCTGCCAGAGTCTGAGGTGCAGAGGCGCTGACCCGAGCCAATCAGGAGGGCCTCAGTCTTGCTCACATTTGTAGGAAGTTTGCCCTCATCCAGGACTTAATGTCCGACAGGCAGTCTGTCAGGACAGTAGTGGTCCTGGAGTTGAGGGTGGAGGCAGAAAGATATAGTTGGGTGTCATCCACATACGTATGGAAGTTGACCCCATGTCGGCTGACGATATCACCAAGACAAGAGTAAATCATTCAGGATTACACAGTACTTCCCCGCACACCCCTCCCCCAAACAAGGTAACTGGTTGTACTGGGTTGCAGTTGCCACAAAATATTGCACACCAACACAATATCATAATGGGGTCTTTTTCTCAGAAGCTAAAAATATTTTTTTTCCCCCTCAAATTTAGAGAACATCCTCAGTATCAGTACCATGTCATTAACAATAATCCTTACATTTGATATAATAATAATCTTTGCATTTGATATAGCATCTTATCACGTCTTCAAGATGTCTCAAAGTGCTTCACAGAATATACTGTAAAGTGAATTGACTGTATATTTTGCAGGCAAAATAGCGCCTTTATCAAGCCATCAATATTCTAACGCAAAGACCTTGCTTCCTTGCTTCCCCCCACTCCAATACACAACACACTTTCCAAACAGCCATTAGAATATATTAGTTTTAATAAAGTTCCAGGATACTGACCTGCAGTGTTTTCCCACATTGAATGCTCCTACCCTGGGACCTTGCTGGGTGCTCCAAACTTCCAGGATTCCTCTCCTCGGGGCATAGATTACCAGGAACTGGGCGACACGATTTGGGCCTGTAGGATTACTGAAAGGAGAGAAATTGCCTTTTTCTGCTTCTCTTTCGTGTAGGTCTTCCATCACCTGGACCCAGCCTACCTGTGCATCGCGGTATCCTAGTAAACAAAAGGTTATAAAATAAAACATTTGAAAGAGGGTGGCTAATGTAATTTGAGCTTTTTATATAGTTTCCCCTTTGGAAGATAAACAAAATCCAGCAGCTTCAAGCTCACAATAGAAAAATCAAACACATCGGCTCACCAAAGCAATACAGTTGACAAATCATGAATAAATCTACCATCCATTTCCAGCTGACTGAGAGAATACATCTGTAATGAACAACCCAACAGAGAGGGACGCAATCAATAAAATATTGATTTTCGGTTAGTTCAGTCAAACCACTTGGGGTTGATATTTTACAAGACTGCAGATAGAAAACTCTGACCTGCTGTGGAACTGCAGAGCCAACAAGGAATAAAGGCAAACTGAGGTGGGGATTCTCCATTGCTCACTCACATGCCTCTAGCTATTCGTCATAGGGATGGATGGGTGGGAGGTAAGTGGCGCCCTTGGAGCTGACCTAGTTCCAAGCGTACCTGCTTGGCAACAGAATATCGGAATCAAGACAATCGTCTGCGGCAGACTCAGTTGTCTGGTTCACGAGTCAGGCCGGTCTACAATACTCCAGCGGACTGTTAATGACAAAACAACCAGCCACATCGGCAGGATCTGGAGGAACAGACCAGTCACTGGGAAGAGGGATTCTTCCCACAGAACTCTGCAAGGCCTGCAGGGTAGGCTGCTCCTAGCTGGATAGGCAAAAGGACGCTTGATCGAGAGTTCTCTCAATGGCAAGTTATGCCATTTTAGCTGGTTAAACTCCAGCACACATCTGGGGTACCTCTACACACCGGATATTTGCATGTGTAGGTGGCATAACTACACATGTGGAACTCTGGCTGTTTCGGATACTGTTGAACATGTCGAGTAGTTTCCACATGTCAGTCGCCCAGCTGATCAAAAAAATGGTCCATTAATAAGCATAGTTAGAGACAACCTGGAGGCTGGCCATTGGTTTCATCTGCTCAGACACATCAGCATTTTTTTTAATATTTAGTGTGGCAATGAGTTAGACTTTCTCTGCACAAGAACTTTTAGCACATTTGTGGGGGAGTGGGGGGGGGGGAGAAATTAGTTTTAAATAGGAGCAAGCTGGTTTATATATAGAAAATGGATACAAAAAGTAACTCACCTAATCAAATTAAAATGGATCTCAAACCATTAATCATTAAAATGTGTATATGCGGTCAGCAAAATGGTTGGAAACAAGTGATATAAACAGAGAATTAAACAGTAAGTCTATGAATAATGAATTTATCTTACACAAGGGAGGCCTTACACAACTCATTTAGAACCTCAGAATATTAAGATGAGACTGCCTTTTAAACTTATACCAAGAGCACACAAACCATTCAAACAGCTTGCAGACATATGCCTCCTCACCTTTCCACATGCGTATTGCAACACCCCTCATTACATCTAATAAAATGACACGGCCAAAATCATCAGTGACGGCTGCCAGGGTGTTACAAGGTGAAAGACAAATTGTCTCACCGCGCCGGCGAGAATCTGGGATTCCAAACCTAACAATATATAAAAGAAAGCGATTACTTCAGTGTGGTTCATTGGGTTATGCATTGATGAAAGGACTAATAGTAATAATACTTGCATTTGATGTAGCGCCTTATCATGTCTTGAAGAGTCTAAAAGTGCTTCACAGAACATACTGTAAAGTGAACTGACTGTCTATTTTGTGGGCAAAACATGGCAGTCAATTGCACACAGCAGTATCCCACAAGCAGTCATGGATTGAGTGAACAATTTATTCTATTAAAAAATTGTTTTAATGCTTTTGACTCACCACAATAATAATCAGTAGTAAACAAGTCCAGGATTGTGGACAATCCCAAAAAATATTGCGAAAAGGATTTTCCATACAAAGTCTGCAGTTGCTTTATGTGAACAACTCGAATACAGTTTTGTTTTTAGCTTGTCTTTTTAATACCAAAGCTACTTTAGTGTGATGAAAATTCTCTGAGATTGGTATCCAGAAACAAATGAACAGCATCCGCTAAAATTTTCCTGTATAAATTAAACCCTACTATGAGAAATGCCAGAATTCCCAGTAACTCCTCCAAAACCAAAAACAATAATAAATTGGTCATTTTCAATCTACGACCGTTTGTGGGACATTGCTATGCGTGTTCGCCCACAAATATACAGTCAATGCACTTTACAGTTTGTTCTGTGAAGTGCTTTGGGACGTCCTCCCGACGTGAAAAGCGCTATATCAAATGCAAGGATTATTATTATTATTATTATTAACTTATCAAGTTATATTTAACTTTAAGAAATCAATAACTGCTACACAATTAAAAGACCAACTTCCATCAAATTTTGGAGCTGTTGTAATGGGAACAGCTGAGGTACAAGTTTACTTGTTGGGAAAGCATTAAGATGCAGCTTTCACAGAAGGCATTATAAGCAACACAGTGATGTGTGGGTGGGCAGGGGGAGGGGATAATTACAGTTTTCTTGCAACTATCTCTCATTAGAGGATTTCACTCATAAATACAGGTACAATTTCATTCACAAAAGGAGTTTAACAAGCACGAAACTAATCTGAGGTTTAATCCCTCAATTGCTCTCAAAAATGTAATACAGGTTTTTAAGCTTGCCTGCAAAATAAAGTAGATCCTGTGAAGTGCTTTGATACATCTTACCGACGTGAAAAGCCCTATTTCAAATCCAATTTTTTTTAAGTAAGTACTACAATTAGTATGTCCCATGATGTGACTAGCCTATCAATATTAAACATTCTCTCTTGTTGGAAATGCTTTGCAATATTCATTATAGTAGATTGCAGATGTTGAATTATTGACACAATATCTCAATTCATTCAAATCAACTCAAAATATTTTTCTTCTTCTGAAGAGCCAGTAGAAAAAGATTTCAATCTTATAGTTCAAAGCAAAAGACAACTGCTCCATAGTCCTACAGTATTAAGTATAAGCCACTCATTTTCACACAGCTTTCAAAGGTAACTGTCTGCAATTGGTATGAAGATTGCGAGAAACTGGATGGAGATATTTTAAGCAAAACAACACAACTTCATTTACACAGCCACAAAAGCAAGTTAATGTTGTGCACAAATTGTGTCAGAGGCAAATGTAGCACAGATTGCACCGTAGCATGTACACACAATGAAACTTTTACCCACCTCACTGAAAGGGGAGTAGCAGGTTCAACCTTTGGTTTCTGTTTCTGCAAAGGCTCTTCTTCATGCTTGCTCTTCCACCCAAGCCATCCACTGGAAATTACATGGACACCCATGTCAGTCAACCTGAGAACTTTAGGCAGCATCAAACCCTTGCATCTTATCATTCACTTGATTTAATTGACACGGCTCTGCAGGGTTACGCAACCAACTATTCTGCGGATATTGTCTCAGTGGTCAATAAAAGAACATCAGAGTTCATAGCACATAAAAAGTGCATCACAATTCAACTGTGTCCAGAATATTTTTTAATGAACACAATTATCTAAAACTTATTTTTCCAAGACTCTAATGTACAGATAATAATAATCATTGCATTTGAAATAGCGCTTTTCACATCTTCTAAACGTCTCAAAGCGCTTCACAGAATATGCTGTAAAGTGAATTGACTGTATACTGGTGGGCGAAACGCGGCAGCCAATATAAACTGGACCCTAATAATAATAGATTTAAAATGGGTCAAAAATAAATCTAGACAAACAACCTCAGAAGGAGGAAGCTGAACAGCTTAATTTGCACAGTGGAAGAGGTGATGACCTAGCAAGGCAGTAGAGATTCAATTAAGGGGTATCAGGAATAATGGTTTAGGATTTTTTTTCTTAACCTCAAAACTAGACAGATCGATTGCAATAGTCTTTTCTTGTTCTGTGCATTCTTATGTTCCAGTACATTTCAGAATTCTATTTGAGCTGGAATAACAATTCAATTTGTCAAACATAAGGCATGACATGGACAACAAATCATGCATAACATAATTGAAGTTCCAGCTAGCCTTCCTTTCTGCTGTAATCTTCATAATTCTACACGCAGGTCTAACAAGGGAGGCCACATAAGAAAGAAATCGTTCAGCACATCTGAATATTGGCTTGCAAGGATTACTAAGAAGCAGTTGTCGTAAATATTTCAACAGTTTTAATACAAACAAATTTCTTACCTGGCTGCGTTAAATAAGGCTGATGTCAGCTTGCTGGCAACTGCTAAAGCAACATGGGACAGCAAAGGTTGTGTGCTACCCTGTAAACCAGAAAACATGCTAAATGCTTAAGATCTCATCAAAACGGAAAGGAGGATGAACTTTTAACGGTCACTTATGATTCTCAGCTGATAAACTAAAGAATTATTTGATTCCGTGTTCAAAAATTATTTGAAACATTACAATTTCTATAAATCCACAATTGGGCGTTTTTTTTAAAATTTAACCAAAGCCACTAAAATTCTTGAATTGGGAACAAATGAACAGAAACACATACCTCCAGGGCATAAAAGAATCCTGTGAAAGGACTAGACCCCACTGTCACATATTGGGACATGGCAGGTGGGCTGCTCTTTATTGTTGCATTAAAGCCACCTAAAACTGAGGCTGTCTTCAACTGATCGAATGGGCAAAGGGTCATAATTCCTGAAGTACGAGAGAAGGCAAAGTGGTAAATCACACAAACCGAAGAATACTCCACTATATATCCCAGTGCAATCAAAAGGAGTATATAGGCTTTCAATGCTGGTGTTGCCTCTATGTTGACATTCTATTGCATCTCCTCCCTTACTTAATCCAGAACAAGTGAAAATTTGAAGGGAAATCTAATCTAGATATCTAAACCCTTTCAAAGTTTATGTCCTGTGATCTATTCTTAATGGCACCATTTTAAGACAGTAAAACCTTAGATGGAAACATCTGGTGTAAAATTAAAAAAACATTCTCCCAGGTAATGAATTCCTGAATGTCATTTTAAAATAAAAGGGAAGCTTGGAAGATCGCCTGAGTTCATCTTGCAATCCACCATTTACTGCTCACATCAAAACACTTCACAAGTAATTGCGATTTTTGCAGGGAAATGCAGCAGGCATTTGCAGTCGTAAGATTGCAAGAACAGAAATAAATGCTCAACAGCCAATTAATCTGGTGGACTGTTGGTCAGGGCTCCAGGGGAAAATCCCTTCTCTTTTCAATGGTGTATTGGGATTCTTTAGCACTCATCTGAACTGGTAGATGAGATCTCGGCTTAACACTTCCATTAATACAGTATCTTCCCAGCACTGCAGTGGAGTGTCATCTTATATTAAAAGCTATAAGCTCGGATCCTAACGTGGAGCCTGAATACAGAAACTTTTAAGACCCAATGATGAGAGTTGTACCATCCAAACTACACCAACATACACCAGTTTACCAATAGGATTAATAAAGTTTAAAATCTTTGCAGGGTGTCATGTTTCCTACCTATGCTTGCATGGTCCACTATCATATCAACATCTTGCAAGCCCCATTTCTTGTATGCCAGTGGTGGAGGTTGTATGTTCTCAGCCCCTGAAGCAGCAGCTGTAATTAAAAACACAACATAAGGGAAGGTACTCTCAACAAAACAAACAAAAAAAACTGTATCTACAAGAAAAAAAACATATGTTTAAAATTGGGGAACTACAGCAACAACTTGTAAGTGTTGCTTGAGAATTCTGAATGGATTGCTACCCTCCACAAGCTCCAGATCAACTTGGACTGCGCACCAATCTCCTCGAGCCCATCACCCCATCCTCACCCAGCTCCACTGTGTCTCTATCTCCAAGAGAAATTGATTAATATTCCTCACCCTCATCTTCAAATACCTTTGCCACATCCTACCTCTGCAATATCTTGCATTTCTACTTCTTTGTTACCTCCTACACTCCACTAACTCTGGTCTGCTTCATCTCCCCCGCTCGCTCCATCCCACATGTGAGCTTTCAGCCACTTTTCCTTTTAGCATATGATTGCAAAATCCCTTTTCCTCGCTCTTCTATGTTTTCAAAACCAACTAACCACCTCTGTTTGACTGTCCTCAGCCACCTTCCCCCACCTCAGGCTCCCTTAGATTCTGTACAGCACGTTAATACTTTCTCCTGAAGGAATGTATCCATACATGTATGAATTGTTACCAGGAACCCTGGGAATTCTTCCAAGGTAAACAAAAGATGGCTACCCTTCTAAATTCTGGAGCTTGCCAAGATAATGATGGAGAAACAATCTTCACATCTACTAAAATCTAGGCTTTCATCAAATCAGATAGAAGAAAGAATGAGAAGTAGGCATTTCTGCATGATTTGCTCGGGTCCCAACCCAACTGTCCAGCGCCTTAGGACGCCCTCCTGACGTGAAAGGCGCTCTATAAATGCAATCTTGTTGTTGTTGTAGGATGTCATCCCAATGTGAAGGCACTATATAAGTGTAAATTGTATTGCGTAAGGATTTAGTTGTGGCTTGGGAGAGAAAATTATGTTATACTCAGGGTATTCTCAGCTGTAACATTACTGGTGGTTTGCTCCCAATTACTCACTTTATCCCAAAAAGGATGCAACAAAACAAGAATTAATCTGGCAGGCACTAAAATCTAAAGAGCAGAGACTCTTGTAGATAAATTACTATGCACAAGTATCCAACTGATCAAACTCTTGCACAGAAGCAATTCATCTCATAGCGTTAAGCAAAACTTCAAAAAGGGAGAAAGATTTCCGCTTCAATGGAGTAATCGTGGGAAATAGACCGTAATGACCTTAACACGTGTTCCAAGGAGAATCAAGAGAATAGTTTATTGCATTGTGTCACATTGAATTATCTTTCCTATATAATGTGACAACAAAGATTTATATAAATCTATCCTCACAACTTTCTGTCCCTTTAATAGATGCCAATGCGCTGAATGATTTTTTTTTGTAAATACTCATGTCCTGGGATTCCTTTATAAATAGGTTTACCAGAGAAGAGTAGTAATTATTGCAACCAGAAATCAGTCACAATTCTCCCAGCAGGTCTTCTAAAAATAAAGTAAAATAAGTCATTGACCACTTCCTCTTGTAGGAGGAGGTCTGCAATCCTCCAAAAGTCTGAATATGTCTTCTTGGGTCTGTCATAGGAAGACGTTTTTTTACCTACAACATCGTTTCTGGTTTGGGTCACGGCAGACACAAGAAAAGATGTCAGTTTGTAGGGAGTAGGAACTGGGAGGTCAACAACAACTTGCACTTATATAGTGCCTTCCACGCAGGGTAGCGTCTCAGAGCGCTTAACAGTAGCGGAGCCTGACTCTGAGCCGGGTGGAAGGGGGAGGTGGCCGTGAGCACAAACAGAAAAGTCTTCAGAGGTCAGAGGAAATTAACTAATTCTTTAAGCATTAGGTTTGTTTGTTTGTATGTATGTGCAGGAGCCCACTTTTACAATATTATAAACTTTGCCTAATTGAAAGCTAAATGCATTCTATTCCTTTTAAGAAGCAATTTTATTGGTGTTTTGCCTACCAAGTACACAGTCACTGCACATTACAGTATATCCTGTGAAGCGATTTGAGATATCCTCTTTATGCGAAAGGCATTATATCAAATGTGAGGATTATTATTGAACCACATACCTCTTGCTACCTGATTTCGACAGGCACGAAGTGACTGAAAGAGGCTGAATCCATCTATGGTCACAAGAGCAGTTGGATAAAGGATACTCAACTCTTCATGCTAGGAGGAAACAAATATATATTTAAAAAAATCAAATTTCAAATAAATGGCACCTCAGGATATTACTTAATTTCACTGAGTTTTAAAAGCACGAAAACACAAATAGCATTAAAAACCAAGGAGACATATTTCTCACAGCCATAGGGAGCTTTGTCAGCTTTGCTCTAGAAATGTGATATTACAAATGCCCAATGTGTGGTCCAGGCATTTGTAAATATCACATTACACACACTGAAAATCCATCCAGATGATATTCTGCCAGGAAACATTCAGTACTGAGTGAAATGCACTGAAGATCTTTCTTTGACCGTACTTTTGGTCACCTTTCCCTACCACCTTCCTCAGCTGCCACCCCCTACCAGCTCAGGCTCCCAAGCAACTCTGATGCTCTCTGACACATCCACCTGACCACCTATTTATCCAACATATACAGTCAAGACTTATTTTCAGCAACATTCAGGGGACTGGACCAAAGTGGCCTTTATGTAAGGACGGCCTCTGAATAAGGATTCATTCTTTCGTTGACCAAGGCCGAAGCTGTGGGCATCATGGTGCCTGCTCATCATAGTGTTGGTAAATGCGTTGGGAGGTCTGTTGTGGAGGTCTGCGGAAATTGGTAATTCATTACCTGTAAGTACACTTAAATTCACTTGGAACTGGCCACTGAAAATAACAGGGCTAAAAAAGAGCAGCCATTTGTGTGTTACAGACAGATGATTGCTGAATAGAGGTGGTTTATTATGGGGGGGGAAAAATTGGTCAGGACTGTTTCAGGGTAACTGTTGGCAGCAGGTGGTTGTTGAATGGAAGTGGTTGATTTATCAGTTTTGCCTGGAGCTGAGGCACCATTATCCTGTGCTGAACAGATTTGCTGATTCTATTAAAATGGCAAAGTGGAATTTCTCGATCCACCCAGGAATAAACTGATTTGAGGAGTTACACGATCTCCTACAAAAACATCATGAGTTTATACTCCAGCCTCATCACTGGAGAAAATATCAGTATAAATGTAATAACTGCTTATATGCTCACCTGTTCTGTTACACCAGGATGTCTGGGAATCTCATATGTTCGACACTTCAGCTGCAGAACTGGATCTTCATTTAGAATTTGTGCTAACAGCAGTACACCATTCTGCAAACAATTAAAAAAAAGTTACATCTCTATTGCAACAAAAATACGAGCATCAATTTATCCTGCGCTGAACAGACTTGCATCGAGTGGTCTCGAGCGGATTCTATTAAAATGACAAGTACAACTGGGATCAACCCAGGAATAAACTAATTTGAGCAGTGATACCATCACCCACAACAAAAAATTGATTTCACCGACTGAATCATAGAACAGTAGCTATTAATTCCTAAAAGGGCAGTGATTTCTACTGCTATGTGCTGAGGAGAAAGGAATTTAAGACCAATGCTGGTGTTGGAAGAATCCAATTAGATAGTTCCCTGTACCCTCAGCAAATGCAGTTCACCAGTTAAGATTTTCTACTGGGCCTGACAAACTCAAGTTTTGATGTGCTTTTATCCAGGAAGCTTCAGAGAAAAGTAATACAGCTTTTTAATGAGTTTATTATAAACATTTATCATGTCATTTTATTTTCGTTCCCAATCAATAAGCGTATTGATTTACTACAAATTTTCATACTGTAAGTTGGCAAATCATCAAAATGATGCAGCAATGTACTTTCAGTGACAACAAGCAATGTGACGAATACCTAACCAAAATTCTTGAAAATGCATATATTTCAAGTCGACAATTTTTTATTCTCCTTTCACAAATTTGGTTTTGAAAACAAACTAATCTTGGACACCATTCCCATGCTTCTGGAAATAAATAAGACAGGACACACACATACACATACACACACAGAGTAAGACCAGGATTCTGGAATGATTTAAGAAACAGCCTGATGCTATAATGGGAAAACAGAGGGGTAGCTAGCCAACAACAACTTGCATTTACAACGTAGGGCAACATTTTGGAGTGTTTTATAAGGATGGCGTGAGAAACTGAGCTGGGAGAGGGGAATGGAGGGTATGGGAGAAATGCGGTCGTAGGCATGTTTGAAGAGGTCAGATTTGAGGTAGGATTGAAACAGAAAGGGGGCGAGATGGGAGTAGTAGAGGGAGGGCATTCCAGAGATTGGGGGTGTAGGAATTGAAAGTCCAGCCACCAATTGTGGTGTGGAAAGGGTAACAAATGCCCAGCAAGCCCGAGTTAGTTGAGTGGAGGAGTAGATCAGAAATAAAAGGTGCCAGGGGTGGATGAATCTGTAAATGAGGGTGAGGACCTTGGAATGAAGGCGAGGAATGAAAAAAAAAAGGCAATTGGATTTTAGTGCAGGTGAGGAGTATTGAACAAGCTGCAGCTTATGAATGGTGGAGCTAGGAAGCCCAGCAAGGAGTGCATTGGAAAAGTCTAAGCAGAATTGACAAAGGCACTAATGAGTGTTTCAGCAGCACTAAGTGCAAGATAGGAGTGAGAGGGCAATGTTTTGGAGGTGAAGGAAAGCAGTCTTAGGGAGGGGAATAGGAAAACTGGAGATTGAATTTATTGCATCCCGATTCAAAATCGATATTTTGCAAGAATGAGATCAAATGGCAAAAGGCTTCTGTTTTTCTCCATGTGAAGATCTTACGATTTTGAATCTCCTCGATCCAGAATATTATTACAAATGATAGATCAGAATATAGCACCAAATATGAGAACAAAAAACAGTAGTCAAATATTTATTTTCTATTTTGGTTATGCATGTTTGCTGTGGTCACCAATGTGAATTTCAGTCATTCCAGCTGAGAATTGTATCTAACTATTGTTATCAAAAAACACTAAAAATGTACACAAATGCACAATGAACCAGTGTGAGATTTTTTTCTACTCTCACAAATTAAATGGTTTTATTTGCATTTCACTGGAGGCATTATAATGAAGGCATTATAAAGAAAATGACTTCCTTAGAGGACAGAGTAAGTCAGATGAAACCACAATGATCATTCAGCTATCAGACTGTAGATGGATGATTAATATGGATACAAGATCAAATTACAATGACACTTATGAGATTAATTCCTATCAATGAGTCTTCAGCATGAGAACAACTAAATTTAACACCTTACTCAAGCATTTCAGATCTGTGTAGATTCGAAGGTGGAAGTGACACGCAGAAGTCACAGGTTACGCAGCAGATATATCAGAAGAGAGATGGGAAGAGAGTAAAACAAAAGGCTCCAATATCCATGCCAAAGAGGCACAATATTCTAAAGTCTGTTTAAAGAATGATATAAAGAACGCACACCTATAAATATTGTACACTAACCAAAAGTCACTAAATTGATGAGTCATTTTTAAGCAGAATAAAACATTGAAAAAACATTCTACCTTTCAGCCTTCATAATCACAAAACGACTGCTACATTTTCAACTTGTATTATTTAACATTTAATTCCTCCCATTAAATTATGAATGACAGCACTGACCTATTGTTGTATGATTTGACTGCTTTTAATTATCAGCAAAAAGGTCAAACTCAAAGACAGTGCATGTGGTGCAGTTCGATTAGAAATGTCCTGTGTGGTAATTGTACTTTGCAGACATAAGCAAAGCATTAATTTCAAGACATCAGACCACACACTTGATATCGCTTCATATTAAGAGGTGATTCCCTGGACAGAGAAAATGACGCACGGAAAATTGGCAAATCATCAAAATAATGCAGCAATGTACTTTCAGTGACAACAAGCAATGTGATGAATACCTAGCCAAAATTCTTGAAAATGCATATATTTCAAGTCAACATGTTTCTTACACACAAACTGCAGGGAAAAAGCAGGTAATTAGGAGTTATCCATCTCATTGTTGTTCACATCAATGTCTGAAAGGTTTATTTAAATAGCATCACTCATTTACAAAAAAGAAACGTAAAATGAATTAAAAAAACACACCTATGTTTGAAGGCAATTTTCACCTTCTTCCCAAAAGAAATGCATCAATTCTTTAAAATATTCCTATTTGGAATCAAACTGAAGAGTTGACAAATAGAATTCCCTATGTTAGTAGCATTTTCAACATAAACAAATAAACTTAGGGTTAGGGTTAGCATTTTCTACATAAACAAATAAACTTGCACTTATATAGTACTTTTCAAATAGTTAAATATTTCAATGTGCTTCACAGTGATGGGAGTGGGAACAAGAGCATGGGGTAGTTGGGTGTTGATCAAAGAGGTAGATTTCTAGAAGGGTTTAAGAGAGCATGTTCCAGAGAGTGGGGGCAGATGATGTGGAATGGGCCAGTGCAGAGGGAGTACGACTACTAAATATCAGAGGTAGGGTTAGGCAAGGGCATGGAAGCATTTGAAAGACAGAGGGCGGAATAATATGTTAATTATTTTGGGAGTCAATTAAAAAATGTACTCAACTGGAGGGTGGGCATTTCCCCACGAAGAAAGCATGCAGGTGATAGACATAAGCAGAAATGCCACAATGGACAACATGAAAAGATCCAGGTTGGTGGAGGGGAAAAAAACAATACATTAGCTTGAGTGACTGTGATGATCTTTATACCCAACAAACTAATTGTTCCAAACTCACAGAAGCTGCAAATTACATTCATTAAATATTTTTAATCAAAATCATTGCAATTAACTCCTAAGAGGTTTCTACTTAGATGGATAGAATTGTCAACGGACATGAATGATTTATTCACATCCCATCAGAGCAACTGCTTTACTGCATTTTTGTGTCACACCACATTAAGATTCTCAAACAAGGTAATAAGTAAGTATACAAACTTCAGCAATTCATTTCCAAGGCTTTATATTCACCAATGTAGTTCTCCTACTTGAAATAAGGCAATACACTTGTTTTAATGCTCCAAACTGGAATCAGTTTGTGCCAGGCTCTTGTTTGACATTTGTTTTGAGGCCCCTGGGCTGAACAAGCCAATGCCTTTTTGATAATTCCAAGTTCCAAAGACCTGCTTCCTGACCATATCCCTCAATCCCTTTACGCTTCAGAAACAAGCCTACTTGCCTCCTGAAATCCACAAATCCCAGCAGCTTGGTTTTCTTTTCCATTGTGTCTTGAATTTAATAATAATAATCCTTGCATTTGTTACATCACCTTCTCACATTGTTGAGACTTCTCAAAGTGCTTCAGAGAATATACGGTAAAGTGAACTAACTGTATATTTTGTGAGCGAAACAAATTTATCCACAATTTATCCCAGATTTCCTGATCGGTAAAGTGAATGACTGATCATTTAAAATACGCTTACTCTTTTGGCTCCTTGCTCAAAAACTAAATTGGTATTTGGATTGCCAATGATACTGAAGGTCACCTCAGACTAGTACTCAAAAGATCCTTATACCATTTGAGCTGGGGAGGACATTTACAGTATTTTGCTCATGGAACAATATTGGTGAGCAAGCATCATTTAAGTGAGAGAAATTTAATCCACTTTTGGTAGAACGCTGAACAATTGAAATAAGTACCAAACTTAAGTACCAATAAGTACCAAACCTCCTGAAATATGGCCTTGGCGATTGCTGAGAAAAACAAACTCTCGAGAACATTTGTGCTTGGATGCTAAGGAACCACCCAAGGACCTTTCATCATGAACAAAGGAATGCTCCAACAATCAGCCACACTGGGTATTAATTTGTGCAGGGTGCCAAACTGGATGCTGAGAGAGATCCATAGATACTGAAAGCTATGATCAGACTTCTACCAAATGTTTATGTACAACTGCTGCAGCTTTCGGATTATTGACAAACACTCGCTTAAGCACATTCAAATTAGGAATTTGTAGAGCGCTGTCAATGAAGCACAATTCTGTGATGCTGTGGAGTATGTACAACCATAAAAAACAGCCTTATCCAATACAAGTCTTAGTGGCTTTGGACTGTGCCAATTCCAAGTAAAAAAAAGCAGCTAACAGATATAGCTACAATTCTCCATCACAGATTTGTTTGCTCGGTTTCTATTGTCTGCTGCAAGAGCTTAGCTTTGACAATCTATTGAATCTTACAGCACAGAAGGAGGCTATTCAGCCCATCCTGGCTCTCTAATAGAAACAGTGAAACCTTGTTAAGAAGCACTACACTTGCACACAGCCAACCAACTCATTGCTCTTACACAAACTGATTTCTACACTAAAAGAAAAATGGCCAACTTCTGGGTGATCAAGTCATGGCTAACATAATTTCCTGTGCACAAAGCAGGAAGTGAACTTGGCACAACCTGATGACCCAGACACCAGCTTTTTTTTAAAAAAGCACGAAGGTTAGCATACAGGAAGTGGGGGCACCCTCAATGAAGTGTAACCACAATGCAGCCACCTTATAACTAAATACCCGCTATAAAGAATTGCATTATAATGGGGCTATACTGTTTAAGTCAACAAATCCACCATAATTTCAAAAAATCTATATTGCTCTGTTCCAGAAAAAGCAGGCTCAGTTCCTCCAATCTCTCTTCATAAGTAAAATCGCTCACCCTAGTGAATCGCTGATACGACCTTGACCTCCTTCTACAGTGGGGTGTCCAGAACTGGACACAATATTCCATCTGTGGCCTATTAATGACTTGTACACATTTAGCATTCCCATCACATTCACCCAGCATTTCTCAAAACCCTATTAGAGGGCTAAGAATACAAATATCTCCAGTAATTGGCACTCCTCACACAGTCTAATTGAACAAATTGTATTCAAACTATATAACAAGCTCATTTACCAGCTCAACTAACATTGTGCAAACTACAGGTGCATGATGATCAATAATCTATTAATCCACAGCTATACCTCCTGACATGCCCAGGAAATGACAATGAGTACATTAAGAGCTTTTGCGTGAAACATTGATTATATGACTAATGGACTGTTAAAAAAATCCTCCTGTGTAACTGAGCTTTTGCCCTCCTCAAGAGTCAAAAAATCATGAATTAATTTGTAATCATGAGAAAACTGTTGCAAATCTCACAGGCAGTTTGCTGGCAGTTAAGAAAGTCCACGCAAAACTCTAGATTTAAAGCACAGTTAGACATTCAATTGAATTGCTTACATTGGGACATCCTTCCGATGCGAAAGTCGCTATACAAATGTAATTTTGTATTGTATTACATATTAAGTCACTTTTCTACACATCACTACTTGACCAAGTAATGTAAATTGCATAAAGACGAGGAAACAAAACATAGATATATTTTATATGCAGTTAGATGAGAAATTGGATGCTTAATAAACTTATGATGAAATAGAATGTTAGGAAATTTGTCATATTCAAAGTTAGAACATTCTGTGCCCTTCAATCTCCTTTACTAAGTCTGAAACCAACCCTTTTAGTCAATAATTGCCATAATAATAATAATAATAATCCTTGCATTTGATATAGCGCTTTTCACATCGGGAGGACGTCCCAAAGCGCTTCACAGAATATACTGTGAAGTGAATTGACTGTATATTTGTGGGCGAACGCGGCAGCCAATTGCGCACAGCAATGCCCCGCAAACAGTCGTAGATTGAAAATGACCAATTTATTATTGTTTTTGGTTTTGGAGGGATTATTATTAGGCGTGTGGAGTAAGGAAACTTGCCCAAGGTTTCGCCCTGCCTGGAATTGAACTCGGGTCTCTCGCTTGCAAAGCGAGTGCTCTAACCACTGAGCTACAGGACTCCATGCCACGCCATGTTGGTTTGGATTACACACACACTCAATGAAGACTTAAAACACACTCACCTCAGTGTAAAATCGCACATAACCCGAGGTAAAACCAACAATTATACATGTCCAGTCTGGTCGGCCTGTGGAACTCCTGCCAAGATATATCCAAATTAAAAACCAGGTTTGGAGAAACATTTTTGAAATATTGCTTAGCAGATTGGATTCTTTTTGCATCATACCACCCAACATTTGCATTATAAAGTATGAACAACAGGGGTGTGGTGGAGGGAGAGGAAATGGAGGGGGGGGGGAGAAAAAAAGATAACGTAGAGAACCTCTACTGCGGATACAGTCCCAAGAAACAAGAAAATTAGGCACATAAATAAGTCAACTACAACATGCATCTGAGGTCTTAAGCAGCGAATAATGCAAAGTGGAAGACATTACATCAATGTTTGTTTTGACCTGAAGCAACGGTAAATATTGTTAAGGCTGATCAATTGTCCTCTCCTGGAGGTGCTCATTGATCGTAAATGAGGCTCTAGCATCCTGCCCATGTGGCCATTTATCATGAGAGCCTGCACAGTGAGTATTATCAAGAGGTTGGTTATACTGTATAAAGAATGATGTCCATCACAGAGTGATTTCCAGCAGGTATCACTGAAGAGGGATCAGGAGCAGAAATCATAGCTGATTTTCTCCCTCCCACCTTTCCCAGTCAAGGACATTGAGGCCAATTGTAATGCCCTAACCTCTCGCATTGCTGGAGTTAGTTAATGTAGACCTGTGATTATAATTGGGTATGTATTGCTGAATACCATACCACACACAATATTGTGTGGTATGATATTGATCAAATAGATCCAATTACCCTGAACCACTAACCCACCCCATTCCACATAGAATAGTTAGCTTGCTTTCTCTTTCCCCCTTCCCCAACAACCTTGTTCATGCCATGAATTGCATTATTTATAGGTACAAGTTAAATACATTTTCACCTGTCTTCCAATTGTACCACATTGCTCTAATGTGGATCAATTTAAACCAAACGCTATACCATGGACATCAGGGGAATGAAAAATGAGAATCATACAAATTTCAAGTATCTTGCCTGAATTTTTTGGATTGGTTTTATTGCTGATAAATACTACAATTATTTTACAAGGAGGAGCAAATACTAATGTATTCTCTTTGACTAGCAAGAATATTTTTCAATTGTTTGGTCACCTAAGCATGTCCTGCCTGGCATCAGGTTTTTAAATCACAATTCAGTAGTTATCAAGACACAAGACTGGGTGAAATGGTCTTCTAGACTTTATTTTAAAGTTAGCCAAATATGGGAAGAAGTATATTCTGTTCATTTCCATTTCTCCTCCACCCATGACAAAATGTTAAGACTTCCAAAAAGCCAAATCCTACTGATCCAAATGCACCAATAAAGTAAATTATGTTATTTACAAGAGGTGTTCAGTTAAAAGTATTTCTTGAATCGAAATGATAATCTTACATGATTTTAGAAAAACACAGAATGAGGATGAATCATTCCTTCTCACTAACCTTATTACAGGCCTAAAAGGATCCTAACACTGCAACAATAACGCTTACCTTTTCTGGCTTGCAAGTGGAATGCAAATGGCACTGCTGACACATTCACTGAAAGAAAAAATACATCCAAGTCATTAAGTTGGATCTCACAAGGCGTGCGACCCAAAATAGATCTTCAAGAGCAATAACCAAACTGGAAAATCCAAACTTAGCTAAAGTTGAGGCATACAAAGTTACATAATAAAACAATGCAACCTTCTTACTGTTCACACATTGTTAAACAATTAGTTTACGTATTGGGCTAATTTCATTCAAAAGATACATATATTCCAACATTACCTTCAATAATAATCCTTGCATTAGATACAGCGCCTTATTACATCGTTGAGATGTCTCAAGGCGCTTCATAGAATATACTGTAAAGTGAATAGACTGTATATTTTGTGGGCGAAATGCAAAATAACTATCACAAAAACTTTCCATGAGATATCAAACGATTGGTGCATCTGTGGTAACCTAAACTCAGGAACTCCAGAAAGTCTGGAGTTTAACACTCCTTTACCATTTCCCATGCAACAGAACACGATTATTTGCAGATATATCACACCAGATTGCTTCTTTGTCATACAGCAAGTCTCACAAGTGAAGACTGAACAACTTGTTAGCACTTTTCCACCCACTCCACCACTGGAGTGGCCTTCAGCCACTCTGCCCCCAACCTCTGGAATTCCATCCCCCAATCACTCCACCTCGCCTCCTCCTTAGCCTCCTTCAAGTCCCGCCTCAAGACCCTCCTCTTCAACCATGCCTTCGGTCACCCCCCTTCCCCTCCCACCGACCCCAGCACGGGTCCGAAATGCTGTACACTGACCAGCACCTTGGGATGTCCTCCCGACGTGAAAGGCACTTTACAAATGTAATCTTGTTGTTGTTGTATTAGGGCGATAACTGCCCAAGAAGTACCTGTATTCTTTCCAATAGAATCTTAGGTCCCTCACTAAAGCAGGATTTAGAGATTCTGCATGTGCAGCCAATCATTTGTGACCTCCATTTAGCTCAAATAACAAATTATTTCTTTTATCTCCACAAAACCCTCAAGAGCAGGATTTCGTCAAAAAGAATCTTAGCATTAAATGTAATGATGTGGTGCTCTGACACCACACAGCACTAACACACTAACCCATGATGTTTGATTTCTCTCTCACATACCCAGACACACCACCACGCCCAGACACACAACCACACCCAGACACACCACCACACAGAGACACACCACCACACAGATACACACCACTCCACACAGACCAAGCAAGCAGATACCCAAAACAATAACTTGTATTTATATAGTGTCCTCCATACAGTCTTGGAGCACTTAAACAAGCATCAAAACAAACACACACACATTCAAACAAATACACATCCATTGAAGAAACAAGCACACACTCCCAAAAAAGAAACACACACACTTTACGCAAATAATTGTAGAAAATTAGGATTTTTTTCAGTGCTCCCTTTGCAGCCAATGGACTCCACATTTTTCTTTAAAAAAACGATTGAAAAGTATATTAACGGTGCAGAAAATAGATAATTTACTTACCCCTCTTCAGCAATCAAGGTACCACTCCAAGCGACACAGTACTGCATTTCATCTTTGCCTTTCTCATTAAATTTCCATTTTGCTGAAACATGAGTTGGGTTTAAAAAAAAGTCAACGCACCAAAATTTAAAGTGAGAGGCAAGAAATCTCTAGAAGATTATTGTCAAAGTTTAAATGTTTTGAAAGACATCTACAATTTATGAAAGTTTTGCTTCGTTCCCCCACGAGGAACTTTCAGTAAGATATGACAATAGAAGATGGACAAGTTGGTGAATAAACTAGCAATTGTACTACATATGGCATTAAATTTGGACCATCTATCCACTGAATCAATTAATCATTTGTATACTCGCATAGTAAGGAAAAGGACAGAAGTAGCAAGTCCACAGACTAGTAGCAAGACACAGTAGTAACTCCTCCTCTAGGAGATAGCTCGGATTGTATCAATTCTAATCTTGGTTGCTACTATAAACAACAACACATTGCATTTATATAGCCTCTTTCACGCGGCTAGTATCTTGGATTGCTCAACTGTGGCAGAGCTGTGTAGTTATGTACTAATTTGATTGAACCCTCATTTACCTAAAATAACAGACACATGCAACTGCAGAATTTAACCCTCACATTTGAATTTATACTATCTACTCATGGGAGATTTCAAACTAAATAATTTACTATTCCTTGAAGTGCATTGATGCAGCCTCTGAATTGATATTAGGAGTACAATGAAATGGAAAGTCCAATACTTACGCACTAAAAAGACAGCTTTCTGTTCCCTTGCAATCACCAATAGATCATTGGTTGGAGAAAGTGAAATCGCACAGTCCTGGAGCCATGAAAATGATATTTGACCTGCAGAAGCATCTTCCTCCTATGATCAGAAAGATAAACAAGGTTGAATAGTGCAAGGAGGAAAATCTATTGACCATGGTGAAGGCCAGCAGCCAAAGGCTACTTCAACCATCATTCTCCTTCTTGTGTTTAATCATAATTACCTTTAATCATCACGGTCTTCCAGTCAACAACAAGATTCATTTATAGAGCGCCTTTCACGTCGGGAGGACGTCCCAAGGCGCTGTACAGTTGGGTCAGGACTCGAGCAGGGGGGAAATGGTCAGGGTGAGGGGAAGGAAGGGAGGAAGCGAGGAAGGGGTAGAGAGTCGAGAGGGGAGCTGAAGGCACGGTCAAAGAGAAAGGTCTTGAGACCGGCCTTGAAGGAGGAAAGGGAGGAGGCGGCGAAGGTACGGGGGATGGAGTTCCAGAGCCTCGGGGCTGAGAGGCTGAAGGCCCGACCACCAATGGTAGGGCGGTTGGGGCGGGGGATGTGGAGCAGACCGGAGCCAGAGGAACGGATGGTACGGGCAGGTAAGTAGGGGGTTAGTAGGTCAGAGAGGTAGGAGGGAGCGAGGCCGTGAATGGCCTTGTAGGTGAGGATGACGATCTTGAATTCGATCCTCTGGGGGATGGGGAGCCAGTGGAGGCGAGCGAGGGTGGGAGTGATGTGGTCGCGAAGTCAATAAGCCAATTGAAAAAATAAAGCAGTAAGAAACAATTTCTCTCCCCAGCCAACATCAGAAGCAAATTTACAGAAAAACAGTAGGCACACAAAGCATGCGTATATTTAACCATGCTGATGAAAGTACCCCTTAGGGTAGCAGAAGATAGTGTTGTTGGTTGCTCAGATCTGTAACCCACCTTCAAGTCTGAACAAAGACGGCCCAAAATACAATACAAAATTACATTTGTATAGCGCCTTTCAGGTCGATATGCCAACAATAAAGATCATCCTGTCAGAATCCATAGGTAAAACATTTCCTGGGATACACAACAAAAAAAACACACTAACAATTGTAGCAAGTCAGTTTTCAGCTACCAATTAAAAATTGGGCATTCTGTTGCTAGTACCTATGAGAATTCATCAGTTTCAATAGTTCCCATTGGATATGCTGTATAAGTGCATGCAAGTGATATAATGCAACTTGCAATTTCCCAATCATAACGTAAATGTCAAACACTTCTATGCCGGCAGCTTTGGACTAGCAATAGGACACCAATATCAGCTCCCCCTCCCCCCACCCCAAATCTGCACATTCTGACTCAGTATGATTTCCAGTTTTCAATTAAGACGAAAACAATAATCTCAAATTCTTACAGGTTCTTTCAATTCACCACCTTCCCACGCTCCCCAGTCATCCTCTTCCCAGTTGAGTTCCTTGTCTGTAAACAGAAATTTAAAACGTTTAGAGATTTAAATTAATTCTATATTGAATTCCACATTGCTCCATGATTTGTGAGTGCTTTTTATTTTAATAAATGCAAGTATGGTTCATACATTCTGGAGTGTTTGAAGGAGCTTTGGATGGAAATACTGTGAAACGTGCTGTTCACTTGCATGTTCAGGTTTTAGCAACCTGCAAACTTGTGTTGCTAACATATGCAAGTGGTCTTCTGCTTCACTGCAGAGACAGAGAAGTCAATGTAAATAGCTGTCTCATACATGGCAAGAGGTGGAGGGAGTAAAATCTCTCTACTTTAAGAAAGTAATGCAAAATCCTACAGTGGATCTTTCAAGGAGGTTTCAAGGAATGCTGAAGACCTTCTTTAAAAGTGGCTTTACCAAGATAATAAAGGTTGTAGTTTAATGTATAAATGGTATGAGTTTGAATTCTTTGTTTTTAAAAAAACTTGATGGTAAAATATTTTTTTTATATACAGAGTATTGTCTCTTTTACTTGTTATAAAGCCCACAAAATACAGTCAATCTACTTTACAATATCTCCCCTGAAGTGCTTTGAGACGTCTCAATTATGTTGGGCAGGTTTCCTTACTCCACACACCTCTGTTCACCTATCAGTGAGTAGGAACTCAGTTGTTAGTTGCTTGGCAGATCACTTTTCCGGGGGTAATAATTCTCTCAATGTTTTTTAAAAATTGGTCACTTCAATCGACAACTGCTTGTGGGACTCTGCTATGCGCAATTGACTGCCCATTTCACCCACAAAATATACAGTCAATTCACTGTATAGTATATTCTGTGAAGCTCTTTGAGACGTTTCAATTATGTGATAAGGCACTTTCACATGCAGGGATTATTATTATTAAATGCAAGGATTATTATTATTAAAATACCAGCTGCCCAATATGAACACTCCTCCTGTGAGGTTAAATATTTGCACTCCATTCTAGTAACACAAGTTGTAAAACAGCCACCCTGATCCTTCACGTAACAAGTTGGGACACCAAACACTCTTGAAGTTTCAAATAAACCTAACACCTCTTTGGCAGCTGAAGAAAAGTAAGAGTGTCAGTGCTGGCAAAGAAACAGTAGCCAGGAGCCAAAAAGGAATGGAATTTCATTAAAAGCTAAAATACCATAGATAAACCATAAACTCCTCAAGGGGAATTAGTTAGATCCCCAATAAAAAGGCTATGTGGAGTGAGCAGCCGTATAGAATTAGATTAGGTGGTTTGTATGGAGAAAAACAAATTACAGATGTATTGGTCTGAATGGCCTGTTTCTGTCCAATAATATTCTACGATTCTGTGTTTTAATGACAGGATAAACAGTATTTAAATTTCTGGCCGGGGGGGTACTGCTGGTAGGAGGGTGGGTTGGGCTAGATATGACAAGGCTCTGAAATACTGTATGTTTTTTCACTTAAAAAATGATTCTTAAAATGGTTTCAGTTTTTACTCTCTCCTCCCTTCAGTTACCAGCACCAAGTATCCAAACTAGCACACGTTGACTCACTCCTCTCAAAACTATTTTGGTTGTCTAACTTAATATGAGGACATTACAGTAACCAACGGCAAACATTTCAATAATTATCCATCATCACTATAGCTGAGGTGGCAGAGGGGAGGGGAAAGTAAATTTCCTTAAGATAGCTGGTACAATCCTGACATTTTTAATTCTGAAAACATTTCATACCTATCAACAAAGCCAGCACAAATAAAATAATAAATCCTGGCTAGTGAACAAATAGATTGACGCCAAAATGTTTTGAGCTGTCAGAGTACTAAATTATAGGCAATAAGTTAAAAGCTAAAGCAATAAATAATAAATAATAAAAAAGTGAGAGGACATTGCATGCATTTCAATATTCATATCCTGACGGCTCACTGAATGAACTTGTTAAACAGCAAGTGCATTGTTGTGATGTGGGTTTCATGGGTTTAAACAGATGCTGCATGGAACTGAGACATGATAAACTGTATGACCAGGCAATCAGAACAAGTAAACTTTAACAAGCTAAACAGATGTTGACATTCTGAATGTCTTCTAGTAGATTTTACATAATTTTACATAGCAGCACGCAAACAGGTTATTTGGTCCAACTATACGGTGTCGGACTTAGTACTGCAATTGATCTAAATAAATTTTGATCTTTTCTCTTCCAATAGTCCCACATTCCAAGGAGTTTCATGTTTAAACAAGAAATTCACCTCACTCTTCAATCAGTTCCACCAAAGAGAATTCCACAGAAGTCAATATTACTGCTGCACTAACACATTCTGATTTTATACCACTGAAGAGAAATAAAAAATAAACCATATCCACTGCTCTGGGGACTGGGATCTGAATGACAATAAGCACAGATTCATTATCATTTGGTACATTTTATATTTTAGACAAGACCATCAGTTATGAGAAATAAAACATTTCTGGATTTTGCACCCAATAATAATAATAATCCTTGCATTTGATATAGCATCTTATCACATCTTGAGACATCTCAAAGCGCTTCACAGAATATACTGTAAAGTGAATTAACTGTGGGCAAAACGCGGCAGCCAATTGCGCACAGTAGTGTCCCACAAACAGTCGTGGATTCAGTGACCAAATTGTAATTATTATTATTTATTTATTTTTATTTTGTCAGTATCCAGCAATCTTATAAAAGTTCTGTACAGCATGGGTAAAATTCAGGGTAAAGTTCTTCCTCTCCAAACCAAACAATAATGTACCTTCCCAAGCAAGGTGAACCAAACAATAATGTATCTTCCCCCCAAACCTTCAGAAACCGCAGTGGTTGCTAACGGTTTGATACCTTGCATTTTCTGCACTAGCCATCCAGAGTATTCCTGAGTCTGCCAAATTCCTCAATGTAAATTTCTTAACAGGGTGCTTTGGACAATATAAAATATTGACAGTTGACCAGCCTTATCTGACTTATCAAGAAGACTTGGAGGTACAAGGCTCATTTTAACTTGTGCAAGCTAAATCCCAAATAGGTAGAGCAATCCTAGCTATATATTACTGCAAAATGAATCACTGCTGCGTACTAGTAATATTGAATTGTAATAATTGTGATGGATATCAGCCCGTGTTAAAAACCTGGGTGACCAAACAAAAAATGAACAATGCCCTTTTTGGTTATCCAGTTTGATCTTCTCCAGAGTATCAGTTCAACCTTCTGTGCATTTCTCACACACGCACAGCTTCACTTTGCCAGTATGTTGCAAGCTGGGATTCAACTATGTATTGGAGCTCCATCCCAATAAATAAATATGCAGCTAAAAGGTATTTCATTGTACATACCTCAAACGCACAATTGTCACACCATTTGAAAAGTGAAGGAAGTAGTTCCCGGTATCCTGGCTAACAATTCTACAGATAATTTAAATAATAACCCTTGCATTCGATATAGCATGTTGGAGGACATCTCAAAACACTTCACAGGATTCACTGTAAAGTATAGCGAATGTATTTTTGTAGGTGAACATGGTCATTTTATGCACAGCGTTGAATCACAAACAGTCATGAAGCTCATGACCAATTTTACCTGGGGGATTGTTGGCTAGAACACTATTCTTTTCGAATAGTGCCAATGGGATCTATAACGTTCTGGGCAGACTGGATCTGTTTAACATCTCACCCAAAAAACAGCATCTCTAACCCTTAACACTGCCTGAGAGCCAGCCTTGACTTGCAAATTCAAGTTATTATTGGCCAGGGGCCCAATCAGCTGTGTGAAGTGCTTGGAGATGTCCCGACAGCACTATTATAAAGGCAAATTGCACTGTATGTGGGCTGCCGTGTTTCGCCCACAAATATACAGTCAATTCACTTTACAGCATATTCTGTGAAGCGCTTTGAGACGTCTAGAAGACGTGAAAAGCACTATATCAAATGCAAGGATTATTATTATAACGGTTATTTACGCAAAAAATGGCTGCTGATGGATGACAGTACTGGCTCAGCGCCAGTACTCGGATGGGCAGATCAATCCCTGGGGGTAGGGACTCTTCCCACTCAGCTCCCTTTAACCCAAAGCCTTAATGAGCTGGGTAGTCCTAGCTGGACAAGTAGCAGTAAAGCTTGCCAGGCAAAGCTCTCAATCGTAAGCTATGTGGTTTAAGCTGGTAGCAGTACACAGTAAGTGTGTGGTAAGCACACTCTGGGCCCCCAAGCCTTGGCTCTTGCCAACCAGCGCCTAATATATCTGGGATTAGGCAAGCGGGATGCTGCGTCCTTCCCCAGAGAAAGTGCACATTCCATTCCAACAAATATATCTCTGGAATTGCCATGTATAGGTGGGATGTATGCACGTCAGTTTGGTTTGGATACTCTTAAGCATGGTGATAGGTTTCCACATGTGTCAGATATCTGGCAGGCAAAAGGAAATGGCTGCCACATCATCTACAAAAGATATATCTCCACTTTTAACAGCAGTTATTGTAAAGCATCTTGAGATATTGACATAATAAGCTGCTATAAAAATGCAGTTCTTTTTCCTGCAATAAAGTACTCTAATTTCCTATTTTGGGTTAAAATGCAGCATAAGCAAGATAACATTAGCTGGCAGGAAGTGCAAGAATTTAATATAACGAAGAGGTTCTGATAGATATAAATCATAAGAGCAGAGCTGTAGAATTTTATAAATATCAATAAAACCCCAGAGACTCAATTATTCCTGAGACTCACTGCCAGCTACTTATTACTTATAAACACAAAATGCAAAAGCAAGCTGACTCGATTTACTTTCTCCCACAAAATATACAGTCAATTCACTTTACAGTATATTCTGTGAAGCACTTCAAGACTCGAAGATGTGATAAGGCACTATATCAAATGCAAGGATTATTATTATTAATATTATTACTTGCAGGCTGGTCACTGTGTACAATGAACAGTGTGTTCATCTCAAGTGAGATAAATGTGAAGCTTCTTGAAGTTTGTGAATTCAAGTCCCACAAGATTTACTGTAAGGGATGAAGTAGCATTTATTTCACAGATAAACAGCTTCTTGCCCTTTGAGCCCCCGGGGGTGGGAATTGGGTAAGGGATGCTCGGACAAGGTTATGGGTCGGGCTGGAGCCCGGGAGGATCAGGGCAGAGATTGGGGGTGGGCAGGAGTGGGGCACAGGGACCAGGCTATGGATGAATTTATTTGAGACAGAGCTAGGGCAGTGGCCAGGCAAAGGTTGGGTCGGGCAAGAGCCAAGCAGGAGTGGGGCTCCCCATGGAGCCGTGCAAGAGGCAGACAACAGATACAAGTCACATCAGGGCAGTGGTCTTGGGTAAAGGGGCAGAGGCAGGGCTATGGGTGAAATTGATCTGCCACTGGAGCTACAACAATAACAACAAAATTACATTTGTTTAGCACCTTTCACAGCGGGAGGATATCCCAAGATACTGGACAATCAGTGTTTTGGACCCGAGCTGGGGGTCGGGATCGGGGAGGGTGGAGGGCAGGGGGGTGACCGAAGGCACGGTCGAAGAGGAGGGTTTTGAGATGGGTCTTGAAGGAGGGAGGGGGTGAGGTGGAGGGACTGGGGGGTGAAGTTCCATAGGGTGAGGGCAGAGTGGCTGAAGGTCTGCACCCCAATAGTGGGACATGCAAGGCAGGGGACATGGAGCAGGCCGGAGCGCGCTGAGCGGAGGAAACGTGCAGGTTGGTAGGGGTTTAGGAGGTTGCAGGGGTAGAGGAGAGTGAGGCCATGGAGGGATTTGAAGGTGATGTGCTATGACCGAGCAGGAGCTGCGCACAGGTGGAGCAACTTAGAGACAGGAGCCGGGACCAGAGGAATAATATTAGTAAGAATTATTATTATTAGGTGTCAGAATGGGCTGTGGGCTCGGCTGTGGGTGACCCCCCCCCGGGGGCTGGGCTGGGGGTAACCCCCCCCGGGGGCTGGGCTGGGGGTAACCCCCCCGGGGCTGGGCTGGGGGTGACCCCCCCCGGGGGCTGGGCTGGGGGTGACCCCCCCCCGGGGCCTGGGCTGGGGGTGACCCCCCCCGGGGGCTGGGCTGGGGGTGACCCCCCCCCGGGCTGGGGGGTGACCCCCCCGGGGCCTGGGCTGGGGGTGACCCCCCCCGGGGGCTGGGCTGTGGGTGACCCCCCCCCGGGGGCTGGGCTGGGGGTGACCTCCCCCCGGGGGCTGGGCTGGGGGTGACCCCCCCCCGGGGGCTGGGCTGGGGGTGACCCCCCCCCGGGGGCTGGGCTGGGGGTGACCCCCCGGGGGCTGGGCTGGGGGTGACCCCCGGGGGCTGGGCTGGGGGTGACCCCCACCCCCGGGGGCTGGGCTGGGGGTGACCCCCCCCGGGGGCTGGGCTGGGGGTGACCCCCCGGGGGCTGGGCTGGGGGTGACCCCCCCCCGCTGGCTGGGGTGACCCCCCCCCCCGGGGGGTGGTTTCTTACCGAGCTTTCGGCTCTGGTCCCTGAGAAGCGGGAAGAGGAAGTCCCGGACTGATCGCAGGTCCTGAAAGCCGCAGAACTGCACCAGGGAACAGGCCATCTCGGGGTGGTGTCAGACTCCAGACTCTGCTCCTGTGTCTGTCCGTCTGTCTGTGCCTCCTCTCTCTCTCTCTCTCTCCCTCTCCCTCTCTCTCTCTCCCCAGGCTCCTGTCTTCCCCACTCCCTGTCTCCCCCTCTCTCTCCCCCACTCCCTGTCTCCCCCTCTCTCTCCCTGTCTCCCCCTCTCTCTCCCTGTCTCCCCCTCTCTCTCCCTGTCTCCCCCACTCCCTCCCTGTCTCCCCCACTCCCTCTCTCCCCCTCTCTCTCCCTGTCTCCCCCTCTCTCTCCCTGTCTCCCCCACTCCCTGTCTCCCCCACTCCCTGTCTCCCCCTCTCTCTCCCTGTCTCCCCTCTCCTCCCTGTCTCCCCCACTCCCTCTCTCCCCAGGCTCCTCTCTCCCTGTCTCCCCCTCTCTCTCTCCCCAGGCCCTCTCCCCCTCCCTCTCCCCTGTGCTCAGGCCCTCGCCTCAGCCCCCACCAACGCGGCCCTTCGCCGCGCATGCGCGTCGGCGTGTTATTATTTACACCCGGAAGCAGATGTAGTTGGTTAAAGGGGAAGTGCCACGTTTTAAAGGGGCAGTGACAGTGCCTTTGAAACTGTAGTTCTACAGGCACAGGGGGAGGGACACATTGTCGCCTTTTCTTAAAGGGGGCAGTTTCTTATTTTTAACGGGGGTGGGGGGGAACAATGTCGTAAAATTAAATGCCGCACTACCCTATTTATTTCAAAATGGGAGGGGGTGAGACTGGCTCAGTTGGTGCGCTCTCGCCATTTGAGTCGCAAGTGAGCATCAGGACTTTGAGCTCATAGTCGTGTCTGATATTCCAACATAGTATTGGAGGATCTCTGTATTGTCAGAGGTGCCATTTTTCGGATGAGACATTAAACGAGGTCCCTTCTGCCTGTTCGGGGGGACATTAAAGATGACAATATTCAAAAAGAGAAAACTCCCAAATACAATTGGTCAATCACTTCACAGCTGTTTGTGGGACATTGATGCGTGTAAATTGGCCGTGCATTCACCCACAAAACTCACAATGACTGCACATTACATCAAATGCCGTGAACTATTTTGAGGCATCGTCCCAACATGGCTCTAATCCTGTGTACAAATTGGTTGCCACATTTGTCTATAAATATACAGTCCTTGCTCTTTAAAGCGAATCCTGTGAAGCACTTTCAATATTTGATATAGAACCTTTCACGTTGGAAAGATGTCTCAAAGGAATAAACAGATGGTAGTCTAATTAGAAATGTCATGGATAACAAATTCAGTGTTGACTATCCTATAGATGGCAGTGTATGGCCATTGCTAAACACAAGCTGACCTCCTCAGACTGTGGAAACATCATAGTTTTGCTTGTAATTTGTTGAACAGGAAAAGATGTTGTAAGGATGATTAAATTATTTTTTTGCTGCAAATAATCTGAGTTAAATTTACAGCACATGAAATAGGATAAGATCTTTAACAACAGAGTGAAATGAAATGATCAGTTACATCTTTGTCTTTTGGAACAGAACATGATAATTCGGCAAAACAAAAAAATTCGAAATAAATATAATTTCCTCTGTATTTCTATGTTTGCTAGCTGTAGAGATTTGAGAGTGGAGGAAAAGAGCACGGGTGAAAATCATCAGGATATGATTGTTCAGTTAAAAAATCTCAGTCACAGACATGCACTCCATAGAATGAGATATCAAAAAGGGGCAGCTAATCCTGGAAACTGTTTTATAACTGCATTAAAAGTGGTTTCAAACAAGCACTTCCCTCGTGATATAGGAGGAATGGAGTGACATTTTTCATATAATCATCAGTTAATTTCCCCTCTGAAAATATTAAAAGGGGTAGTCATATGTGAAAATTAGATAACAAAAATCATCCTTGCATTTGATGAAGCACCTCAGGATTTACTGTTAATTGCGGTGGATGTGTATTTGGTAGGCGAATGAGATGTAGCGAGATGGTACAAAATAAACTGTACAATTAAAGTAAGTAAAGTTTATAGAGAATACTTAAAGACAAAATATTGAATCCTGTCCATTTATAATTCCCATTACTATTACTAATACTCAAGATGGCCCAGAGTTTCTAACCCATTTCACATTATTTATGTTATAATTTACATGGCATGATGGCCATCCTTTATCTGCCCAGCGCAAAAAATTGTATGATAATTACTTCTCCCACACATCTTTTTAGGGGAAGAAAGTGCAAACACAATGTGTCTTCATTATGTTTGAAATGGAGGTACTTAACAGTGCTGCTAAAAGTGTTGCATTGTTCCAGAACAGGTTTTGATTGATTTTTCGATTGATCTTGATTCATTCCAGGATTACCACAGAATGAAGATGGCAGACAATCAATTCTCCAAGGATATTAATACTAATAATCCCTACAGTTGATATAATGTCTAAAAAAGGTAAAATATCACAGAGCATTTCACAAGTAATTGTCAAGTATAGTGCCAATCAAGGTCAAATCTCTTTGAGTAACTCAGTGTAACTCAGAACAATAACTCTTGACTTATAGAGATTTCACCAAAATATAGAAACGGTATCCCAGACTCGGTGAGAATCTAGTAACTTGTACTAAATCCATCCTTCAGATGAGCCGTTAAACTGTGGTCCCGTCTGCCTGTTCAGGTGGATGTTAAAGATCCCACAGCACTATTCGAAAAGAGAAGGAAGTTTCTCTGCCACGGGCACTCGCCAACCATTCTCTTTGATCTGGCTTGTTTATCTCTAGAAGGCCAAATGAAACTCATTGGTATCTTCTCGTACTGTACATAAACATGTTTACAGGAAGATCAAGCACAAAAACATCTCCCTGAAACAACCTGAAGGAATAGGTGCTAAAGGCATTTGAAGCTCAGTATATGAAGCTATTTGCATCCTTGGCTCATTTCATCCACAAAATATAGTCAATTAATGTTACAGTATATTCTGTGAGGTGCTTTGCGATGTCTCGAAGACGTGTCAGCCAGTCAGCGGCACGAGAGCGAGGGGCAGAGCCTAGACCGAGCAGTGGGGATAAAGCCACAGCGAGGAGAGCAGGCAGTCAGTCAGCCAGTCAGCGGCACGAGAGCGAGAGGTGGGGCAAGGGACAGGGCGAGGAGAGCAGGCAGTGTCAGAGGATAAAAAAAAACGAGAAAAGTAAAAGTGACGTCAGAGCGACGTCAGTATCAACACTAACTGCAGACTAACAGTGAAATAACAACTATCAACACATCACACACCACGGACTTAACTTGATCAACTTACCTTGATTAGTTTAACTAAACTTGATCAACTTAATTGGATCAACTTGATTAAATTAAAACTTAATTAACTTAACTTAATTAACTTAACTTAATTAATTTAAGTTAACTAATTAACTAACTCAAATTGGAAGAGGTCACAATGGCGTGGCAGGTGTTATGTGAGGAGTGTGACATTTGGATTGGGGAATGGTTAACAGGTAGGAAACAAAGAGTAGGGATAAACAGGTCCTTTTCAGATTGCCGGGATGTGACCAGTGGAGTGCCACAAGGATCAGTCCTTGGGCCTCAGCTATTTACCATCTACATCAACGATCTAGATGAGGACATCAAAGTTAATATATCTGAATTCGCGGATGACATAAAACTAGGAGGAAGTGTCAACACAGGGGACGACATTAAAAAAATGCAGCGAGACATAGATAGGTTAGGTGATTGGGCAGGTAGGTGGCAGATTAAGTATGGGAAATGCGAAGTCATCCACCTAGGTAGCAAAAACAGTAGAACGGGTTATTTTTCAGAAGGGGAGAGATTGGAATATGTTAGCGTCCAGAGGGACTTGGGTGTCCTTGTACACCAATCACAGAATGTTAGTCTGCAGGTGCAGCAAACAATTAGGAAGGCGAATGGTATGTTAGCATTCATTATGAAAGGATTAGAGTATAAGAGTAGGGAGGTCTTGCTGCAACTGTATAGGGCCCTGGTGAGATCGCACCTGGAATACTGTGTGCAGTTTTGGTCTACTTATTTAAGGAAGGATGTACTTGCCTTGGAGGGGGTGCAGCGTAGATTTACTAGGTTAGTACCAGGGATGAAGGGGATGAGTTATGAGGATAGGCTGACCAATTTGGGCCTACATTCTCTAGAATATAGAAGAATTAGAGGGGATCTTATAGAAACCTATAAGATAATCAAAGGGCATGATAGAGTAGATAATGGGAGATTGTTTTCCCTGGTTGGAGAAACTAAAACCAGGGGTCACATCCTTAAAATCAGAGGCCAGCCCTTTCACACTGCATTGAGGAAGAACTTCTTCACTCAAAGGGTGGTGAATATATGGAACTCACTACCCCATGAAATATTTAATGATAACCTGGCAATCCTATGCTGTAACTCAAAACAATAACTCCTGACTCATAGAGATTTCATAGAAACGGTATCCCATATTCAAGACTGAGATAGATATACTTCTTATTGCAAAAGGGATTAAGGGATATGGGGATAAGGCAGGGTTAGGTTATTAGCTGAAGTTAGATTAGAAGATCAGCCATGATTATATGGCGGGGCAGGCTCGAAGGGCCGAATGGCCTACTCCTGCTCCTACATGTTATGTTATGTTATGTTATGTGATAAGCCGCTCTATCAAATGCAAGGATTATTATTATTACTATTATTATCTAATTCAGCTGTCCCTGTTAAAATATGTGCTCACATTTAAATGGTAAGCAGTAAACAGTGTTTTAGTCAACAAGAAGGGACTGAAGCCAACCCTGATAACAACAGACCAGTTATCCCTCCTGTTCGTTGTGCCAAAGTACATGAAACCAAGTTAATGGGAAACTGTTATGGCATCTCAGTCACAATACCAGCTGTGTTGGTGACAATTTAGTTTGAGAGCAATTCATTCAACTTATGACTCTCTCAATGTTATAATCCAGAAATGTAACGGCTCTCCTGATGCTCAACGTGAAGGAATGACAAGCAACAATGAAAGTGTATAGAGGATACGATTATAAAGAAAAAGTAGAGAAACTTAAGGCTTTACATATTGGAAAGAAAGTGGTTAAATGAGGATATCACTGAAGTATATGAAATATTTAA